TCAAGTGTTTACAGATTTGCTTGAAAGGATGCTTTTCGGCTGATTTGTTGTGGTGCCTTTCCGGTTCTGTTCAAGTTGCAGAGAGCTGTCAAGCACAAGTTTTTGGCTGACAAGTCAAGCTGGTATTTATAGTCCCTTGCTGGTTGGCGATTGGTCATCGCAAGCTTTCTGGAGAGGTGACTTCCTCAACTGAAGGGTCACCTCAGCGCTTCCAACAGACGTGCTTGTTGCAGCCCCCCACTTGCAACTCAGTCGTGGCTTTCAGCACCAGGCCCCTAGCCGGTGGAATCTCCTGCTACAGGCGTGTCATGAACGTAGCCGTACTCGCTTCTGGCCATCAAGAACAACCAGGTCCCCCAGCAGTGCCCTTTTACCCATTCCTCTACTGGAGGACCTAGACAACCGACACCCTGCCCGATGTGACCTGAATCCGGCCGCTCGGCCGAGTCCGTCGCGGCCAGGACGGAGGACCCGGAGCAGGACCCCCTCTTCCGCCGCGGCTATGAGGCTGCCATGAAGCAGGCCGCCAGCCGAGACTCTTTCCGGGGCGAAAGGCAAAAGGGCGGGTTGCGAGTCTTGAAAACGTGCCTGGGAAGGGCTGGGGTTTTACTGGAGGTGGTTGCAAGCGCTTCGAAAAGCTCGCAAGACAGAATATCGACTTTTGTTTTGTTTGGGGGGCGGGGTCAACTCGAAACTTGTGGGGGTGACTTCCATTTCCCTACGCGCCGCAATTTGGAGGGTAATTTTGGCCCCAGTTGCAACCGTGGTGTTTGGGCCTGGCTTTGGGGAAGACCAAAAACAAACAAACAAACAAACAAACAAACAAACAAACAAACAGGAGGAGTGTCTGGGTGGTTGTGGTGTGCTAGTATGGATTTGGGAACCAGGGACACGCATGGACAAGAGCATGTCCAATTACCAGGTCAGTTGATCGGGATCGGTGGTCTAGGGATTCAATCAAAGCAAGGTCCCCTTTAAATTCCTTTTTGATTTTTAAAGTGTTGTGAGGTAGGCGGACAAAAGGAACGGCTTGAGCTATGCAGCTACGAATTGCGGTGCACGCCGAGTAAATCAGCGTGTTGGCTTTCCAATTTATGCCGGGAACTCGGTAGGCGGTGGTTCCCTCGTTCCAGTCCTAAATGAGAAACATGTGACTTTGCGATATGCATACTGAGATGGATGAAATCCGTTAGGTTGTTTACAGTACTCACAACTGCTGTAGGGGTTTGCGCATCCACAGAACTGGGCTAGTGTCCCAATCATATGGACATGCAAATGGCTTCTGAATCGCCGCCGCGCCCCAATTTTTGCACGTAACCCACCAGTGGTGGTTTTGACATCCAACCTCCAAGAGGATATCCGACAATCGCTCAACCGAGAAGAGTTGCCAACTGGGCAGGGGTCCCACAGCGTCTCTGCCCCGAAACGCGAAGCCTCGGATTTCCGTTGCGCGCCGCGCCGTCGCGCCGCTGCAGTTTCAGAAGCAGGCGGCAAGCTCAGAACTGGGGGGCTCGGTCTCAGGTGTCCCTCGTGTTTTTTTGTTTAATCAAGTGAACTTGTTGCACCCATTTGGATTCGGTTTTCCTTTGGAATCCTTGGATGACAGGACCTCCAGAAAAACCTGTTGCGTCACATCCGGCGGACGAGTTGGGCTCCGCCTGGCTGCGGGGCGCGAGGCCATTTGGGAGAGATGGTAGACGGACCCATGGTCTGTGACCCGTTTTTGGCTTAAGCCTAGGCAAGCAACCGTTGAGCTGCTGCTATTTAGAGACAAGCCCGTAGGTTGCAATTTGAAGACGTTGGCTTCATGCCATTTTGGTGCCGGCTCAATTCCTTTCGCTTGGGGCACATGAGGAGCCGAATTAGTTTGTGGCAGGTTGCTCGTTTCTTCATTCTTAATTTGAGAAGATGTAAGTGTCGTTTCTGTCAACTCGCAGAAGATGGTACGAGGAGGGGGGTGCTGAACGCCATTCTAATGTACATGCGGGTGAGCAGCCCGCACGTTGATGATGGGTCCTTAATTAATTGACGGAGCATGGTTTTGTGTTTGCATATTGAATTCCACAGATTCCACATGGACTTGCTAGTCGCCCGGTGATGGTCCAGTTCCTGGCACGATCATGGTTGGCGGTTGTTTTGTTCAAGGATCATACACCTCACGCACGTTCATAATCAAGTGGTCGCGGGGATGGATTGGTGTCGCAGAAAGGGTGTGTTTCCCTGCGCCAAAACGGGAATTCGGCCTCGAGCTGAGGCGCAAAGCCCAGAAGTTCCAGAGGCCAAAGATTCAAACGACCTGAAAGATGACCTTAAAGACATGAAAGACGACCTGAAAGATGACTGGAAGGACGACCTGAAAGACGACCTTAAAGACGACTGGAAAGACGACCTTAAAGACGACTGGAAAGACAACTGGAAGGACGACTGGAAGGATGAGTGGAAGGACGATTGGATGGAAGCCGAAGAAGGCGGGATGCAGAGGCTGCGACATCCCGGAAGGGCCCAGGTGGTTCTCCTGTTGCTTGCGAAACCAAGGGGGGTCCCCCCAAAAGAACACAGCCACGGAGAGAAAGGAGTCGTCATTTGTTGTGGATGTTCGCAAAGTGTGCCGAATGTGAGCAAATTGCTACACTTCCAAGGGAACATTCTTTCAGGTAGACATGAAACACAATCTGAAGAAATCTTGCTTGTTGAGTTTGCATTTGGGTGAAAATGGATGGCACACGTTCCACATGTTTGGTTTCATCCTCCCCTAGCTGAAGAAAAAGTCGCCCCCCGGAGCCCCAAATGGGCGGCCCGGAGCCAGGCTGGGAGCCCAAGGAGAAGGCCAGCCAGGCCGGGGACTCGAAGCCAAAAGCTTTTGGCGGAAGCGAATCAAGTTGGATTTGAATTTGGGCAATTTGGGGAAACCAAACATGGAGTTCGGCCACGGACTTCCCGTCTTGGATGCCTGAAGGACTTGGCGGCAAAGAGGTTGGTCAAGGCCCTTCACGTCCCAAATCGAGAGACGCACACTCGAATGATGCTCGGGGCAATCTACGGGCGAACCCACCGATGAAGAGGTGCTCCTTCCATAGACGGGTGACCGAATTTGAGTCGTGGTTGAACATACTGTGAATTTAAATTTGCACGACACAGCCATGGGAAGGGCATGGACCCTTGGTCATGAATCGCTTGTGGGCTGTGCACCCCTAAGCCTCACTATGGCTCCAAATGAGCATTGGACATACAGAATTACTGAATTCTTCCAGAAAGCTAATGCTTGAAACCAAAGATGGGGGACCCTACACATGAAAACTACAAAATGCAAACATAGGATGGACCTTGTCCAAAAAAGACATGGCAACAACCCGCAAGGGAACTACGGGGAACGGAAGGCCCGAAGAAACACGAAGAGGGAACCCTAGACCCTGACATGAGTCCGGATGACCCATAGGAGACTTCACCAGTTTTGATTTGGGCGTGACGCGTTGTTTTCTTTTGATTTTGTAGGTTATTAACGGGAAACCGCTGAAAATTGAGGTTCTTTTGAGAGGAGTTCGTAGGGAAGATGGAAGATTAGAATGGACATGGAAGGAGCCTTGACCAATCACTATGGCTTGCCATGGCATTGGAAGGTTCCTGCCTGGTACCCCCACTGGCAAAAAAAACGCGGCCTATGGGATCGGAGCCTGGCAAGTGAACAAGTCTCCTTCAACGGGATGGTTTGTCTTGGGGGGGTGCTGTTGTTCCTCGTTCGTCTTCCCCCCCCCTGCCACCCGAGGGCGTTTTTTTTTTCTCCCCCTCTCTCCGCAGTAAAAACTTGAGGCGGAGGCCAAGGGCAAGCGGATCGTGGATTGGCTGAACATGCAGGAGCAGCTTTTTGGCCACCTCAAGCCCTTGCCGCCGCCGGGCCCAGACGGCTTCGCTTCCGGCGAAGTGGGACCCCGAAGATCACCCGGGGCCGGCTGGGAGGGTTCGGGCAAGTCCGCGCCAGAAAGACCCAAAAAGGTTTCAAAAGGGACGGGCAAACGGACGGTTGGTGTCCTTTCATTCCTTAAGACCTGCTTGGAAGACAAGGCCTTTGCGTATCCCAACCGACAAGTTTGAAACCAAATGTGTTAAGTGTTAAACATTTACTTGTTGTTGGCGGGGTTGTTGTTGTGTTGGGTGGTGCCGCAACCAACACAAGACCGTGGCCCTGACTGGGGGACTGCCCTGAACAGGTTGGTGCCTGTCGGTGTTTTATTTGATCGGGTACCCTTTGCTTACCATTGCAAGCTTCAGCAATTTGGGGTCAAGACCGAACGCCCCCCCTTTCCAGGGAGGGAGTCCTCATCGAGCTCGCAGAGATTGGGCGACTGGAAAGGACCAAGCTTTGACAAGATGTTTTTAGCACTGGCCCCGATATTTGTCGTCAGGTGGCAAATGGTGTTTATCCCAGGTGTTTAGGATTCCGATGCCCCCTGCCCCTCAGACATATCCCTTCCCGACCCCTTCTGTTTTGTAACCCCTTCTGTTTTGTATCCCCTTCTTAGGTTCTACGTTCTGCTTGGGCAGGGTGCCTTTGGCTTGTCCAAGGTGTCTTAGCTCCTTTTGCTCCATCCGAAGTCGCGCTGAGGCTGAACTGGATCCGAGTGCCTCGATCCAGCCTGGCGCTCAAACCCGGAGCTGCTGGGTTTGGCGGTTTGACCAGCGGACAAAATCGAGGGGTCGCTGGATTTCCGCAAATCAAAGGTTGATCAAAGTACCGGTGGTTTCCCAAGGCAAACAATCCACACTTGTGGCTCCAGGTTACTAAAAGGAGAATGGCTTGGAAACCCGGCTTACGGAGCACTTTTTGCTTCCGAGGATTCTTGACATCGTTCGAACTTCTTTGGGGATGGTCATTTCCAAAAATGTTGTCATTTTAATGGACCCAGTTCCGAGCAGCCCAAAACCGCACCTGTGAATGTTCGGCTGGAACCAGTTGGTCCCGTCTTCCTTAACAACCAAGAAGTGGCACATGAGAGGCCATTTCTGCCAGAATCACATGGTCCAGCTTAATTATTGTTTTAATGAACCGGCAAGATGACCGCATGGGCGTGTGATTGGGGAGGGGCTAGCATTCTGAATCCAACTTGGGCGTTTACTGGAATGGCCCAAGCAAACCACGCAATCTTCTATTTGCCCAACTGGGCGCTCGCGGATCCGTATGCATTGGAGCGGTTGTTTAGCGTCAGAACCTTCGTAGCACTGTCACCCCCCCTCCTGAGTCTGCCTCAGGCCCCCATTTTTCGCCAGCGAGGGCTCTTGGCGAGTGTTTGTCCATAACTACCGGGGTGACTTGATGCAACGGCTTGGCTTGCCTCCCGGCCCGGCATGAAATGTTTTCTTGCGCGGCCCCCGTGAATCAAAGGGAGCTTGAACAGGGAGCCGCAAAGGAGCGCCCTTGCTTTTTGTGGATTCATTGGGTTGGCACAGCTTTTTTGGTCACAGAATCATCACCCCGTTTCATGTTCTTTCCCAGTCTACCCACGCATCTTCCAAGTCTACTTTGGCGGGGTGCGGGGGAGGCGCTTGAAGCCGACTTGTGAGGTGGGGACGGCCTTTACTATGCCCAGGCCTCAGGCTTGGCTTTGCCTCGGCCAAAGCTGAATGGACTGGTCATGAATGCTTGCACCGCTGGTTCCGAGGGTTGCTTTGAGGCATTGTGTGTTTTCATTATTTGTTCATGGTTTGTTTGTTTTCTTCCTTGATTGAGCGGTTGTTTGATTGTTCGATTCTTGGTTTTGCCTGAGAATCCTACTGCTTGAGGTGCATCGACGCCACAGGTAAATGCACCCGCAAGAACGGCGGATGGGGTTCCCTGGGGTTCCTTTTCAAGCAGCCCAAAACGTATCCTCTCATAAGAGGCGCCCTCATCTTCTCACCATGGACTCTACTTTTGAAGCCCTGGAACTTGGAGTTCACGGGAAGCCTTCCCGCTAGGGTGTGTCTGTGTGTGTGTGATGCAAGGAGCTTTTTCACATGAGTTTTCACATCCCCAGACCGAGGATGTGATTTAGGCATATTTAGGCAAGCAAACAACGATGGGAACATACATCTCCAACATGGAGGGGGGCTGAAAGGCGATGTGAAACGACTCAGTGGCAACCGCCGACAAAGGACCGTACTGAATCGACCTGATAATAAGCAGCCATTTGGACAGCTCACGCAGTCGGAGAGGGTGCGCATCAAAAGGTCGCCATGGCTATATTTTGCCTGTTCCAGGAGCGGTTGCACGGCTAGCCGCACCTTTGACCCGAAAGTGCAGCAATTACTGCACGATGTCATGAAGGAAGAGCTATGGAGGAAGAAGCACGTGGAGACGAAGACGATCATGGACCCGCTTCATTTGGGCGAACGCACCTGCGTGCGTCCGGGGCCAACGGAGGCGGCTTCGTGTTCGTCTTCGCCTTCAGGTTCTGTTTGGGCAAACTCATCACATGGTGGTTCCATTGACACTGCTTGACAGGCGCAAGCGCCAAAGCCATTCAAGGCTAGTGGTCCCTCTTTTTTGCAGACCAACAACACTAGCACGCAGTGTGAGTTGGCCCAACATCTTGTAGCAGAGAAGCTTCACAGAAGCCAGAGGTTCAAGTATGGAAGAAGAAGACATGGAGACGAAGACGATCATCGCCCCGCTTCATTTGGACGAACGCACCTGCGTGCGTTCGGGGCCAACAGAGGCGGCGTGGTGTTCGTCTTCGCCTTCAGGTTCTGTTCGGGCAAACTCATCACATGATGGTTTCATTGACGCTGCTTGACAGGCGCAAGCTCCAAAGCCATTCAAGGCTATTGGTCGCTCTTTGTTGCAGACCAACAACACTAGCACGCAGTGTGAGTTGGCCCAACATCTTGTAGCAGAGAAACTTCACAGAAGCCAGAGGTTCAAGCATGGAAGAAGAAGACATGGAGACGAAGACGATCATCGCCCCGCTTCATTTGGACGAACGCACCTGCGTGCGTTCGGGGCCAACAGAGGCGGCGTGGTGTTCGTCTTCGCCTTCAGGTTCTGTTCGGGCAACTCATCACATGATGGTTTCATTGACGCTGCTTGACAGGCGCAAGCGCCAAGGCGATTCAAGGCTATTGCTCGCTCTGCAGACCGACAAACATTAGCACGCAGTGTGAGTTGGCCCAACATCTTGTAGCAGAGAAGCTTCACAGAAGCCAGAGGTTCAAGTATGGAAGAAGAAGACATGGAGACGAAGACGATCATCGCCCGGCTTCATTTGGACGAACGCACCTGCGTGCGTTCGGGGCCAACAGAGGCGGCGTGGTGTTCGTCTTCGCCTTCAGGTTCTGTTCGGGCAAACTCATCACATGATGGTTTCATTGACGCTGCTTGACAGGCGCAAGCTCCAAAGCCATTCAAGGCTATTGGTCGCTCTTTGTTGCAGACCAACAACACTAGCACGCAGTGTGAGTTGGCCCAACATCTTGTAGCAGAGAAGCTTCACAGAAGCCAGAGGTTCAAGTATGGAAGAAGAAGACATGGAGACGAAGACGATCATCGCCCGGCTTCATTTGGACGAACGCACCTGCGTGCGTTCGGGGCCAACAGAGGCGGCGTGGTGTTCGTCTTCGCCTTCAGGTTCTGTTCGGGCAAACTCATCACATGATGGTTTCATTGACGCTGCTTGACAGGCGCAAGCGCCAAGGCAGACCGGCAACAATAGCACGCAGTGTGAGTTGGCCCAACATCTTGTAGCAGAGAAGCTTCACAGAAGCGAGGTTCAAGTATGGAAGAAGAAGACATGGAGACGAAGACGATCATCGCCCCGCTTCATTTGGACGAACGCACCTGCGTGCGTTCGGGGCCAACAGAGGCGACGTGATGTTCGTCTTCGCCTTCAGGTTCTGTTCGGGCAAACTCATCACATGATGGTTCCGTTGAGGCTGCTTGACAGGCGCAAGCACCAAGGCCTTTCAAGGCTATTGGCCGCTCTTTGTTGCAAACCACAACAATAGCACGCAGTGTGAGTTGGCCCAACATTCTGTAGCAGAGAAACTTGACAGAAGCCAGAGGTTCAAGTATGGAAGAAGAAGACACGGAGACCAAGACGTACATCTTTCCCGTTTCATTTGGACGAAAGCACCTGCGTGCATTCGGGGCCAACAGAGGCGGCTTAGTGTTTGTCTTCGCCTTCAGGTTCTGTTCGGGCAAACTCATCACATGATGGTTACATTGGCACTGCTTGACAGGCGCAAGTTCCAAGGCCGTTCAAGGCTAGTGGTCGCTCTTTGTTGCAGACCAACAACAATAGCACGAAGTGTGAGTTGGCCCAACATCTTGTAGCAGAGAAGCTTCACAGAAGCCAGAGGTTCAAGTATGGAAGAAGAAGACATGGAGACCAAGACGATCATCGCCCCGCTTCATTTGGACGAACGCACCTGCGTGCGTTCGGGGCCAACAGAGGCGGCGTGGTGTTCGTCTTCGCCTTCAGGTTCTGTTCGGGCAAACTCATCACATGATGGTTCCATTGAGGCTGCTTGACAGGCGCAAGCTCCAAAGCCATTCAAGGCTATTGGTCGCTCTTTGTTGCAGACCAACGACACTAGCACGCAGTGTGTTTGGACCAACATTTTGTAGCAGAGAAACTTCACAGAAGCCAGAGGTTCAAGTATGGAACAAGAAGACACGGAGACCAAGACGTACATCTTTCCCGTTTCATTTGGACGAAGCACCTGCGTGCATTCGGGGCCAACAGAGGCGGCTGGGTGTATGTCTTGGCCATTTTGTACTGATCACGGAAATCTGCCCATGAACTGCTTGCCCAATTGTCACGGAGCAGGAGTGTGCCCTCCGTGCTTGCGGCAACACTGTTGGCGGGCTGTTTCAAATAGACTTATATATCCCTTACCTTTGCGCATTTGTGCGCTTGCGTGAGCAAGAAGGTGAGATGCGCAGCCGAGTATCGAAAAGGGCTGCTTGCGGCTTCGCCTTTTTTTGCCTCAGATTGAACCGGAGACCAGACCACTCAGAGGAATCTCATCGCTTCCCAATTAAAAAGGCAAACCGATCCTTGATTGTCACGGTTCTCCGGATTTGTCTCAAAGCGGATGTTTGCGAGGGTACGCTTTCTGAGATGGTTTGAACGGGAAAGCAAAAGGAATGCCACCATTTCTTGGGGGCTACTCCATCCGGGCACGTATGCTGACATCTCTGGCGACTGTTCTGCTCGACTCCCAGCCCAGTCACTCTGGTTTCCAAACGGGGGGCCATGGGATTCATTCCCCATGTTGCTGTGGCACCGGGCCTGGTCGAAGTGTTGACTGCAAAAGACTCGCACAAGACAAACACAAACTTCTGGCGAAGCACTTGAAGCAAAAAACACTGAAAAAGTCCTGGGGTGACTCCGAGTGTTTTACCCAAGTTTCCGCGCTGAGGTGAACACCATGACGGGGCAAAGTACCTTCACCGAGCCCGCCTCCGCGCTGCCGGACGGGTGGCAGGAGCTGAAGCTGGGAGCCCGAAGAGGTTCTTTTAGGGGGAGCTTTGTGGGAGTGGGTGTCTCAAAGAAAAGCAATCCATGGTGTCTCAAGCCAATCAGATTGGGCACAGGAAAATAAGACCCAGAGAAGATCAGACCCAGAGACATGGGATTTCGTGGTTGGCGTCCCATGTAAGGGGGAATTCGAGATCCTTCACGTTTTGGGAAGCACCCTCGGTCTGAATCCAACAAGGATGAATCGGGTTATGGCAATACCTCCGAGACAGGCTTAAAACGGAAGCTTGGTTCGATCTTTCCGTTGGGTTGATTTTTGTGGGTGCTATTTCCTGTTGGTCGCGTTTGATGTCTGCACGGCAGAGTCTTGAAAAGGTCGGGAGGGCACATGCTTTGTCGAGGCATGAAGGCATTTTTCTCTGGGCGAGATTCGGGGTTCGAAGCCGGTGAATTGCAACCGGGTTACTCACCTCTTCACCCAAAGTTGGGAACATCCTTGGAACAACTGAGAGGATTACCCTCCCACCAATTCACAGCCGGAACCTGTCGTTCGGGGGGTCCTGGTTTGGTTTTTAAAGGGACCAGGTGCCGAACGTCAGGTTCCGGCTGTTAATTGGTAGGGTAACTCGCTTATGATTTCCCGGATGGATGTCCAGGGCCGGGGCTCCAAGACCTTGAGGCGATGGTCGCTTTACACTGGGAGTCCTTGGAAGCCAACAGGACGCCGACAGCCCCTCCTCTCTTCATTCGACACAAGTTTCCGCAACGCGAAACCCACCCGAAGCAAAGGCCTAAAGCAGGTCACTACCATGAACCGTCTAAATTCCAACCCCCAAGCCCTGAACCCTACACCTCAGCTGCCACCCGGTGTTTCCTTTTTTCCGGCTTCCGATGCTCAGGTCCCGGAGCACGGGGCGGACCTATTACTGGAACCCCAAGTTGAACATTTCGCAGCTGCGGCCTTGGCTCGTCCGTCCTCTGGACGCCACTTTGGGGCAGACTGGAATTGGGGAGCGGGATTTCATGGTGTCCTTTCCCGTTGTCTGGGAAGACTAGAGAATTCATGTTGACCCCAGTTTTTCACTAGGTGTCCTGGGTTTAGTGGGGAATCATCACTTTTGGAGGGCAACCCCCCCTAATAATAAACAGGGGTTGGTTAATATGGGGTCAACATCATATGAAACTGAGGAGGGGCTTTAGCCCCGGCCTCCTCTTGAAGTTGCGGGCCATTTTGGGTGTGTTTCCGCCTCAACTCCCACCCCACTGCATGGCTGATGTCTGCATACATACTCCTCGCAACTGGTGAAAAAGACGACGTCAACCTCCATGGCCGCAGGAAGGCAATGTGATGTCTCACGCAAATCAGCGCCATCAATCAAAGGAAGCTCCTTCTCTCAGAGCTCTCACGCGCAAAGTGTGGCGAAAGAGGAGCACGTTGCGACGTGCAACCAAGCACACCGGCCATGGCTGACATGAAATAAGAAAGACACCAAACGCAACGCGCCATGCCTCTTTTTGAGGTGTTGGGCAAGTGCCGCTTGGCCTTTCAATTCCCTGCAGCACAGCGAAGAGCAGGAGGCAGTGCGAGGCATCTCACGGGAGCGTTTACTTCAGCCAACTCTGGCAAGTTGGCAGGCATCCACTCTCTCAAAACCGCTGGCAACCAAGCAGGGAAGGCCCAGCAAGGCTAACCAGCGGGACAAGCTGAAAGAAGGACTGGGAAGGCCAGAACCATTGGGAGCCACTGCAAGTCTTGTTTGACCGCTTCATGCCAGCGACCTGGCTGCTCAAGGGCCACACTGGGTTCATGAAAACTGGAGCCTTCTCACTTCAGCGGACGCATGACGAAGATGTGGCTGACAACAAGGATCACCCTAGCCGGCATTCCAAGCTTGCGCGCAGCAAAGAGCCACGCAGATCAGCTTTGGGCCTTGCCAAAGCCCAAAGCTTTGAAGTCAAGTTCCCAGCTGCCAAACCTGCCTTCATTTGGTGCCAGGCTTGCCTTGTTCGCCGGAGTTCGCCGGCAGTTCTTCAAGACTTCAGCTCACACGTCGGAAACTGAAGCAAGCCTGGCACCGAGATACTTGTACCAAGCAACCACCCGCACAGAACACCCGCGCGAGGTCTCGATCCAGCCAGATGCGTGTCCCTGGTTGTCAAGAACTCACATCGACAAACCGCTGCGAGGAAATCGCAAGGTTGGGGCAACCAAGCCTTGCAGATTCTCCAGCAAGTCGACCTGGTTGACGAGAGACTCCAGAGAAGTGGGGGCAAAACACTCCCAAGCAGCCGAACGGCTCTTCCAAGCCGAAAGCGCGGCCATGTCGCCCAACTTGTAGTGCCTCTAAGCCGGCACTTCATGGCGGATGTCAACTCAGAGCACCCCCAACGACTTCCCACCTTCGTCAGCCTTTGCAACCCGTTGCCTCAGGCGAAACAAAGGGAATTGAATGCCAACGTCGGAAATCTGAGTACGGACAGCTGAGGCCTTTAGAGATTGATTGGAAGCACTGGCATTTGATGTTTCTGGGCCACACGACCCATCCAATAGTGTGCTGCAGCCTTTCATTGCTGTGGCCATTGACAATGACTTCACCACCTAATTGCTGCAGCATAGCTGTGTGAAGGTCGTAAAGGCCTCCGCACTTGTCTGGATTCAAACGGCTGAACTCTTTCTGGAGTTCTTCTGACGAAATGACATCGCTGCACCACAGCTGACTTAGGTGCACCTCTTCCAGAAGAGTGGCAAGTCCAATCTCAACGTGGGCGTCGTCAAGAACCATAGTGGCTTGGTGGAGGTTGCAAAAGCCAATCTGCCCAAACAGACATCCAATTGCACTGAGTCCTGTGCTGGATCTCATTTTGCATGGGGGACGGAACCTCCGGGCTCTTCCGGCAATGCCCCAATGTTGGCGAACCTTGCCAGAATCGAAGGCGTGAGCTGCCTGCTGCAGAAGTGAGTCATGCCAGTTCTTGGTGTCAGCCAAGTTTTTTTTCTCCGAATCACGGTCAAACTATCCAGGCAAATGAGCGAAACCACCAGTGGAGTTCAAGAACCACAGTAGCAACCCGTCGCAGCACAGGCCGACTGCAGCTGGTTCGCAAGGCATTCCAAGCCCACTCCACCACCAATTGGGCCCTCCCGGCAAAGCTTGGTTGTTCTGAAATTTTGTTGAACCACGTGGCAAGGCCTTGAGCTCTGCAAGGCTGTCTTCCCTGTCTCGCTCCTGCTTTGCAGCTCCTCGAGCGCACTCTGATGCATCTCCGCGATTTGCTTCAACTTGGCCTGCTTTTCCTCCATGGCCTGTTGCGTTCCGGCCAGCCGCTGCTTCATAACCTGCTTGACTGTTTGATCTGCTGATTGTCGACATGTCCCTTCCTGGCAACTGGGGCTGCGAGCACGGCTCGGACTGGGCGGCACCCTTGTGAATGCCACAACTGAGCACCACCACCACTGCCCCGTGATTGTGTTGGGTGTCATCTTTAGTCCTTTCGATTGGCCTTAAAAACCACAAGCACGTACAAACCCTGGGTAGTCTCAATTTGAGTCAGACGTGCACACACAAACCCAAATCCACTCGGTTGCGCAAGCTGAAGGATGGCCTGGCGGCTTGACGCTTTGATTTAGAGTTTGGTGTGACTCAAAGGCTTGCCTGTAACCCTTGACTTCTGCAAGGGAAAGCGGCCCCAATCAGGTTCCGCTGCCTTGGGGGGAAGGAAACGGTAGCATAAAGTCTCCTCATGGGCACCGCTATCTCAGAGCAAAGCGCTCTAGTGCCTGGCGACGAGTACGTTTTTGCTGTCCACCTACTGACCTTGATTCGTAGAGGGGGCCCTCTAAAAAGAGACGTGTACATTCCCTGCCGCTCGCCAAGGTTTGAGTACCCCAAAGCCAGTCGACCCGGAGCGCCAAGAGCATAAGAACCAAAAGTTTGTCCGCTGGCAGATGGGAGCCGTGCAATGTGAGACCCGGTCTCGAAGCCTGCGGTGAGAAGATGTCATTTTGGGGTCCACTTTGGTGAGTTTTGAAAGCAGAATTAACGGAGACCTACTTTTGTGGTTCGTGTTGCTTTGCGTTGGGGGACGCCAATGCAAAGCAAGCGGGGAACGAGTTGGCCCGACGGTTGTTTCGGGGTTTGAGAAGATTTCTTCGGGGCTTGACACTGCCTGACTTGAGGTCATGGGATTCTTCCGCTGACCAGGGGTCCCTCAACTTTCTTTCGTGGCACCTTGTCTGGAAGTGGCACTATGTGGCAGTTTCACTGGAAGCCACCAGTCTTTTGATCAAGTTAAAGGGGGCAATCCTCTGATACTTGACTGAACAGTTGGGTCTGGGCGTGCCTCAGGGCATGAGATTCAAGCACCTGTTCGGCCCAGGATCTAACTTTGCCATTCCCGGTCGGTTTTCCACTTGCTAGAAATCCAACAGCTGATCCCTGGCTTTCATTTCTTTTGGAGCCAATCGAATGGGCCAGGCCGGAGTTGAAACCATTGCAGGGCCTTCCGAAGGTTGCCATCTCGCCCCAATTCTGCGCCCTCTGACCCAGGGCCAGGCATTGAAGACAGTTCCGTGGGGGCCCGCTACGGACTAAGAGAACAGCCAAGTTTGACTTGGGAGTCTTCTTGTCATGTGGTGTCTAAACACAACTTGGGCATAAAGTAGGAGTCTTTCCGGCATGGTGTTTTGTCGTGGGCATGTCGGTCGCCAACTCAGCTCGTCCCAAGCGATGCGATTCTGCAGCTGTTGGGGTCCGGCTTGCCACTGCAAGGCGAGTGGATGCCGTGTTCGGCTTGCCGCAAGTGAATGGGGCGCACACCAGTCCATGATTTGTCGTTTCCCTGAACAACAACATCGAGAAAAAGATGCTTGGTGTCTAGATGGCCTGCGCAACAGGTTGCACAACCTTGGACCACATGAATCATGGAGGCACTTTTTGCAGCATACTTCTGGGTTCTCAACTGCTCGGGCCAAAGCCGCTGGCAAGCCGGCCTGGGACGCGTGGGGCGCGAATTGAGAATTCATGCAATGAGCAGCTCGAGCCGGCAATGGCAGCATCCCTTCGTGGATGTCTTCAAGACCCGTCTTTCTGCATACGCAGGGTTCCCGAAACAATGCAGTCACTCCATGAGTTTATGGACGTGATACTCTAAAATTTTAACAATATAATGTTAACAAAGATCTTTTCACCAGGCCAAAAGGGCCAAAAGGAAGCCACCATTTTTGGGGTAACGTTCAGGTGGAGAATGTGCACACACCTGTGGCATGGATACGCAGAGGGTGGTTCTAGTGAAGAATGCTTTCCGCAACCATCATGGGGAGGGCGCGGTCGATCTGACAGCCGGCTGGCATGGAACCCCAGTAGGGTGTCTCTGCAAGAAGGATAGGCAGTGTCTGACTAACCCCATCTTGAAGCGGGTGTCACACCTAACTCTGTTTTGTGTTGGTTCTTTTCGGTTTTCTTGGGAATCCCCAGAAGAGGAACCATCCCCTTAAAAGGACACAGGCCAGTTTTTCTGCGGCGAGGACCTTTGCCACGGATGCCCGGAATTCATCCCTTCCGGGGTCGCTGGTGGCGGAGGTCAGGGGCGACGTCTCAGAGGACTGGCTCGCTCCGTTGCGCGAGGGGCCAGCGGCCAGTGGGTGTTTGCCCTGTTGGAGGCAAGAAGGGACTATAAAGTGTAGAACCCTTTCAGCTTGTTTGCGGGGGGGGGGGGGGAGGGGGATGGAAGCAGCCCCTGAGGAATTGCACCCGGAGCCAAGGCAAGGCAAGGGCAAATCTTGACTCCTTTACCTGGCCAGCCGTTCCGTTTCTGAGCATGGATATTTCAAGCGATACCTGAAACTTGAAGACAACAGGGGCAAGTGCTTAAAGAATTAGATCGGGTTACGCGGGTACGGCTTGAATTTCCGCATGGCCATGGGAGAGCCATGTCAGTAGTGTGGAGTACATAACTGGGTGTTTGTTTAGGGAACCCCCCTCCAACAAAAAATTGCAGAACATTTGGTGTTTTTCTTTAATTTACCTATAAAACCACCCAGCAAGAGGTACGAAAAAATGACACACCCATGTTGAATCATGTTGAGCAATGTGTTTGCATGTCTTTCCAATTGGCAATCGTCGTCCAGGAAATGGACCGCGAGATTTGCAAGCGGGTGTTCCGCATCCAGGGTCCGGCCGCTCGACCTTGGGACACCTAAAAGCCAGAGGAAACTGGCTGGCTTTCGGTTGGTTTTGTTGTCTGGTTGGTTCGGTTGGTTTGGTTTGGGTTGGTAGTTTTCTCTTTTTTCCCCCCCGCGCATCAAAGAGAAAAGGAACAACATAGAGAAATCCTAAGCGCCAGGCCGACAGAGCGAACTGCAAAGCATTGGCTCGGATTTCGGGATATGCTTGCTCGCCACTGGGGGCTGGCGTTGAACTAGCTTTGACGTAGATACGGTGTTTGGCATCATGCTGAAACAATCATCGAACAGTCTAGTGCGTATATTGGTGTTACATGGATGTTCTTCATTGTGGCTTTCCTTCAATTCCAAGCAGGTAGCCAGCCCAGAGACTGGGCAACATCTAACCTGTGCTTTTCTGTAATCTGTCCATGTTGTAGTTTTTGCTTTCTGGGTTGCGCACGTTGACACGCTGATCATACATGAAGATATATTCTCCTAAATCGGTCTGGCACTGACGTTTGCTTCGATGAACTGAGGGTAGGCCACTACACGGCCCCTTCGTCAAGGTTGCGAACCTCATGACCAATGGGCCACACGAGTCCCATATGGATGGGAGCACCCCTCGGTGCCCATGGGGCAACGTGGCTGAGGTCTGCGCCAACAACTACATCCAGGTGCCCTCTCGTAAGGCGCCGGGAGGATCGGCTGAGTCGCCCGCAACTCTTTGGATCCGGGAAAAGGGGACAGATGGGTCAAGGGATTGTGGAAAGGTGTTGCTTCGCGCTTGTGTGGTACCAATGGGCGGGCAACCTCGCCTTCAGATCGAAAAGGGACGGCGCTTGGAAGGTCTTTCATTCGCATCACAGAATGGCATTTTTGGGTAAAAGGATATCCTCTTCAACTGGGGGACTGTTTGCCACGTTCATTTTCAGGAGGCAGGCAACATGCCATCCTGCCGAGCCAGACGACAGCGGCAAAAATCGGGTCACGCGGCTTCTATTTTATACCCACCATTGAAACCGGTAAGGGTTCCTGGACTGTGCACTTTTGGGAAGGTCAGTTTAGTTGTATTTTTTGCCAATCCACTCAGTGAATTACCCACCAAACACTCAGACCCCTTTTCCTTTTGAGAACCGGGCTTCCTTCAGATGCGCTTCTTGGCGTAAGTGCCTGTAGTGCTCCTGCCCCTCGTGTTGAGCCGTGCCCAACTCGCCAAGCAGTTAAGCCGGTAAGGAAAAACTTGAAGTTGTGCTTGGGAGTTGGCATGCAGCTGGACAGTCGGACAGTTGGATAGACAATTCCCATAGAATCTGTGCAAATTGCAAATGATGGCGAGCTCAGCAGGTAAGACGAGCTCGCCCCGCCTGAATCTTGGGAAGGCCAAAGGAAGACAAAAACCGGTTGGAAGCTACGAGACCCGACTATTCCTTCCTTTGTGCGCATACAACCCAGCTACAATCTACACTGGAGTCCAGCATCTCAAATACAGAACTGGCGTCAGGGGTGGCATATAGGTTCCCCTCGTTATTTGAATGTTTGGTTTCCCGTTAGGGCCAGGCAATTGAGGAATCACACAAAGCGAAGACCGCCCTGTGCTGAGTGCATTTGCACTTGTGGCATCCTAGGTGAAATGCATGGGCCTCACAGGGGAGTACATCTACCTGCTGGTAAAGCCGCTGGAGAAGAACTTCTTCCTGATACACCTGGACTGAAGGGTTCCCGCCAAACCGATAGGGCGTCTCTGAGAACGTAAGGCCCGCCAGGATCAACCTGAAAGATGACCCAACTGCAAGGGCGACGTTGGTGAACGGATTCTTTTTGGTGACCCCCAGAAAGAAAGGTGGGGCCCAGTTTTCCACCTTGGGGCCTTTGGAGCAAGCTAGTGCAGATGCAGTGCTATCAGTGCTGTTGGACAGGTGGAAGGAGTGCCAGTCACTGTGGCTAAAAGCACTGGCTTTCACCCGACATGTTGCAGAGAGCGTGCTTCGTTTGGCTGCCTCCCTGGATTCAGGCAAGCGTGTGGTGGGATCCCTTGGGTCAGGTTCGTGAGTATCCCTCGAGTTAGGTTTGCGAAGTCACGGGTAAACGGCAGAGTTTGGCATCTGCCGTTTACCCAAAAGAGGCGCTCCTTGCAACAGCCTCGGGCTTCTTAGGCACCTTGATCTTTGCCCTGGTGCAAGGCACCCAGCACCGGTGTTCGTTCCAAAAACCCAACCGCCAACGCTTGCTTTGCTGTCTGGAGTGTGGAGGCAGATATGACATCAGACATATCCGAACGAGCGTGCTTCCAGGACAAGAAGCGTTTCAACACCTGATCGCCTACCACTGCTTTTAAAGACTCTAAACAATTGGTTGCCCTATACTTCTTGAAGCTATGGCTGGTTTCCTTCTAAGCCATTAATATCGGTCATTTGGAAGCCGAAACCGCAGGATTTCGTGGTGAGCAGCGGCAACCGCTTCAGTGGCGTGGCGGCAAAGCAGTGTCAGTTGCGAAGAGTCTGCTGTTTCCTGCTCAGTGACTCGCGGTGCGATCAGCGAAGCACAGAATGAAATGGGTTGGGGAAGGCAGTGGCCTTTCGGGGTTGGCATTGAAGCTCTGGCGGAAGGTTTTTATGGCTATTGGGTTACCGATCTTTGGACTTTCTGACTTATTGGGAAACAGCGGGTTTTCCATCGGACCCACGAAAACTTAAACTTTTTCGTGGAGGGGTCGACAGCAACAAGAGGTGGGGTTCGAATTTTCCGGCTCAGGAATCTCGCTCAGCAACATTTACCAAGAGGCCGTGCCCGCATGCGAAGGGTCCATGTGCCCATGCATGGCGACCACGTGTTAAATGATTTGTTGGCAACATGGTTTGGCCGACCCATGTAAGCATGGACTCTTTTTAATGGAATCTACATGACCACCTTTCAGCAACCGCGCCCTAAATACGTGTCAAGAGGTGCCTCAGCTTTCATTTTACTGCTGCTGCCGAAGCTGAATGAGCACACATCTCTGCAGCATGGCCCATGAAACTAGCACCCCGGTGAGCCCGGCCGTGCTCAGTCAGCCACATTCGGGTGAGAATTAAGGCCCAATCACAAATTCGTTCGTCTGGTTTTTGAGTTTCTACCCTCTTCTGTACGATCTTAAAGGGAAACCAAAGGAAAGCCATCATTTTGGGGGACACTAGAAAGAGAGACACCCAACTGGGTGCGGACATTTGGCTTGACTGTTGGGTAGATCACCATGCTGCAAGCAATTTTTTGGGATCTTGGGAGTCGGTTTTTTTGATCGGCGCTGAGGGGAAGTCCACGTACCATTGCATCAACTGCCCCTGCAAACTGCCGGAGGCTTGGACTGCCCTGGCCTCAGTGGATGGTTTGGCTGGCTGTGTTGTTGATTCATGTTGTTTCGAAGCAGACTGGGTGGTTTAGGTGGTGATTTGTCATGTCGAAATTCGTGGCTGGCGGCACTTTCTCTTAAGGTTTTGTTTTTCGGGCTTTGGGCTCATTTGAGTTGGTTGCGGATTGAAATGGAAGGTCTTGTGCCATATTCGTGAGAGTTGCTAGTCGGCTTGAGCCTAGCCTGAGCCTCGCCCTTTTTTCAAACTTGAAGGCATCGCTTTTGACCGGACACCAAACACAGAGTGAAACCCTATCCTATTCCGTTGCGTGAGGGCAGGGCAGCAAAGTCCGTCACAGAAGCGTTTTGCGAGAACCAAATGCGCATGCACGTGATGAAGCACAGCTGTTCAAAGGCAATCTGAGTTCAAACCTGCGCGGTTGAGTCTCCGGTCGACATTCTACAAGTAAGCCTCCTTTGTACCACCTTCATGGAAGCGGGCAGGGTGCCAATATCAGAAGCTGCGTGTCCAAAGCCGTGCAAACCTTTGCGAGGAACTTGTTAGCCTGGGGGCGGTGGACATGCAATTTGGTTGGCGGGGGGAGGAGGGTCTGGGGCCCGCACCGTCCCTACGTTTGTCAAGGGTATTTGGGAACATGGGGCCGCCCTCCCCGAGAAACAGCCGAACGCAATTGAAGTCATTTGGGGGGCCCTTGGTTTATTGGCAGCCATGTTTCTTTTGTGTGTACAGCCATCAGGACTATTTGGAAGCTTCGAGGCAAACTCTTGGTTTCATGATGTTCACCCAGGTTTCGTCATGTCTCCCTAAAGACCTGCAGTGTGTCTTGTTTGGTGCCGTTTTTTTTTTGGGGGGGGCACCCTGAGGTAGTGCGGGTGCATGTACCCCCAGTGCTAGAGCTGGGCTCGCATGCGGCGCCTCACGGGTACCTCCTGCGGTCTCTGCAGCTCTGCGCCTCGCTGATGGTGCGCGGCGTCTTCACCTCAGACCGCCCCTCGGCGAGGACTCGGCACTGGGGTGTGCCTTGTGACCAAAGGCCTTCTCCAAAGCGTGGAGCCTGTTGAAGAGGGGGAGACTTCCAAGAATGCAAAGGCGGGTCCAACATGGGTCCGGTGGCTCTTCAGCAATGTTCTAGATATGAATTAGAAGGGTGAGGCAAAGCTGAGGTAGAAGTGGCGAGAAGCCATGAGTATAATGCACTTAGGCAATTTACAACCATGGCTTGTGGGTTAGTCACTTGCTTACTGGGCACACGGCTTCTGAGACTTGGTGGATGGCTGGTGGCGTGGGCCGGGGGGGAAACCACTGATGGAGCGCCAGTTGAAGGGAGAGGGCCCCGCGCCGTAAGGGGTGGAGCCCAGGCCTGGACAGCCGTTCGCAGCCAAGACTTGGGTCACAGCGATGTATTTCAAAGAAATTCGCCTAGTTATGCAGACCACATTCCTGAAGTGTCCATTCAGGCGCAGCCGAATGTGGGTGGTGGACACAAAGCAGTGGTGACCAGATGACGACAGAAACATTGTGACCCTTGTTTGAAGGGTTTCACCATGATGCGTTGCACGGCCTTGGTTTACTTGACATAGTTGCACCTTCCATCGAGGGTTTGCCATTTGGCATTTTCTGGCCTGGCGAACCAATTTCCTTTATGCCTTTGATGGCAACCCAGGATTAAACCGCCCCAGATCGATCCATAGTCCTTCACTGCCTGGGGGAGCGCGTGGGTGTTTCTTTTTCTCGGGGAGCCCTCCAAAATGGTGGTTTTCTTGTTGGTTTCCATTGAAACCAGCAAAGGGTACCCCAAAGAACGCCACCACGCATGGATCTTCCGGGTTAAGACGAATCCGTCGACTTCCAAGGCTTCTACAGCCAGGAGGATGCGCCGCGTGAGCTTGTCGGGGGTGCTGTGTGGCAGTGGCTGGACATGCCCGAACTCGCCCCTTGGCGCAGGGAGTGGGCCATGTCTTCTCCCACTTCACTCGCTGAGCTTGGCAATTTTTGGGAAGACCGGTGGAAATTCGAAGAAGTTAGACTGACATGGCTGACTGGGGCCAGCCGCCCGAACAAGGCCAATTAAGTGCTTCATCCCTCCCCCCCCCCCGCTGGGCGACTAGCTGTCAAAGCCCGGTTCAACCAAGCATGATGCCCGGACTGGTAGTTGTTGCTGGCAACTGTACGGGGCTTATGACAGCCCAACAGGTTCGCATCTGTTCCGTGAGGCCCAAAGTTGTCAATGCGCTCGGCCCATTGCCTGGCTTCATGCTGCGACCGCTCATGGAAACGCCAGACTGGTCCACAAGTCGTTGTTTTCCTTTTGGGTCGGCACATGGCGCCAGACTATGCGCCAGCCTCCTCCCCAAAGCAAAATAACTAAGAGATGCAGGGCACGCTGCTTGACATTTGTCGTATTCGTCGCGCGGCTTGGCTAAAGCTGCTGCGAAAACACCCGCCTTTCTATGCAGGGATCCCTATAAGGCTTTTAACTGTTGCGCAGCAAGCAGCAGGTGTCACCATATTGTTGTTGACCGTTTGGCGCCCCATTGATGTATTGCCATGCGAGCCCAAAGGCAACCAGCCCTAACTCCCAACTTGGGCCGCAAGGGGCGTGCAAACCCAAGTTCTGGATCATACAGTAACCCATTCTTTAGGGCTGGCAATCTCATGACTTGTTGAGGATGCGCATGGTCGTCCGAGCCAGGGGGGTCGATGCTTGGTCACACCCGCAGTCCAAGCAAGGTATGGACGGGGGGGCAGCCCCCAATAATTGATTTGCCTTGGGTGCAAAGCACAATAATCTGCGAGACGGGTGGGCATTTAGTGACCCATGGCTTCTTGGAAGAACTGGCGGACACCATGATGTGCCAGGCTGTGCCGCAACCGGAGGCCCAGAGGCTGGACATTTTCGGGCCAAAAAGCCAAGGGGCATTGGAAACGAGGGCCGCTCGAGTTAGTTGAGCTTCTCCAATTGTTTTGGTTGGTCCCGTCAAAGAAAGCCTTTGTTTCTTGGCTTCCAGCTTGCGGGTGGGTGGTTTTAGGGCATTGTTTGCCTCTCCCGATTAGAAATAGATATGTGTGTGTATTTCCCCCTCTCTCGCAAGAGCGCCTTTGTTTGGGACAAAGTTCAATCGAAATTGGGCTTGGACCTTGGTGATGCGCTTCAATTCGCGGTGCCTCTCGAAGCCAACAGGTGTTCCTCCCCCCAAGCCCTACCACCCCAAGCCACCCCAAGCCACCATGAACGGGTAAGCTAAGCGTTTGTCACCCCGTCCCGAAAAACATGGTAATAGGATCGACTTTGATTCTGGATTTGAAGATTGCACGGTTAGCAAGCCTGTCGATCATATTCTTGAACAGATCTGGGCCCTGGGAAATGAAACATGAACTAAGAGCCTGGAATGATGTATCGCGCTTGGTGGCGCAAGTCTTGTTTTGTTGGGAACAATTTGCGCGACCTTCCGGTTGCCTCCTGTTGGTGAGATTGTGTGCTCAAGGTTTTGTTCCCATGAGTATTGAGCGCCTGCTGGGTTGAAAGGGATGGCCCATTTAAGAGTCAATTTCTGCACTTTTGGAGGGCATATCTTCCTATGACCACCAGGTTGATTCATCCGGGGTCGACATGTGCCGCAATGCGGGAGGCCGTTGGCAGAACTGTCCCCGGCTACCAGCCAGCCCACGCGCGAGACAACCGAGGTGCACTCAAGTTTGACCATCCTTGCATCAATTTTTCATGCTTTGAAGCCCTTTGGTATGACCCTATGTCGCATAAAGCCACGGTGAACTTCCCCCAACCTGGGAGGTGTCCTTCTTTATTTGTTTAGTGCTTGATTTAGCTGGTTTGTTTTACCTATTTCGTCATTGACTTATTTCTTTGTTTCTGTTTGCCTTTGACAATTTATTTGTTTATGTTTTCACGTGCTTTAGTTATTTAGTTGTGTGTATATGTTTGTTTGCTTGCCGTTCTTTGTACAGTTACGCTTTCTCTTTCTGTATGTCGTTCTTGTTTCTTTGTTTGTTCTTTCTCTCCTTGTTTCTTTTGTTATCTATGTCTGCCTGTCTGTCTTTCTTTATTTTTGTTCCTTCCTTCCTGCCTTTCTTTCCTTCTGCCGTTCTTTCTTTCTTGGTTTCTTTGGACACCAGGATGGCCTATTTGTAAGGCTCGCTCGTTTGGACTTCCTGTGATTTTTGGGCCCGAGCATGTAAAGGCATTGCGTGGGCTCACCCTACTGCTACCGCACCAATGACTGAATTTGCAATTTGCATGGGCCCGCGTTTCTGGACCGACGAGAGGCCTCTCACAATCCTGTGTGTGTGTGTGTCTTTTTTTGTTGATTCATGCTTTGGCATCACGAAACGAGCAGGAAGGCGTTAAAATGCACATGGATCAGCCGCGCAGTTTGTAGCTTCAAGCCCTTGGGTTTCCGAGCCGAGGATGCTCGGGGCGGTAGCTTCGGAGGGAAGTGTTCTGGATATGTTTGCGTAAAGGGGCGTCTCTGGCTTGGCATCCCCCAACGGTGTGGGTATGTGTCAAAGGCAGGCACGAAGAAAGTAGATTGAAACTGGAACCATGACGTAGGGCTGAGTCTTTGAGGGCAGCCGTTTGTGGAAGGACGAACGCAAGGAAGGAAGGAAGGAAGGAAGGACGGACGGCAGGAAGGACGGAAGCAAGGAAGCAAGGAAGCAAGGAAGCAAGGAAGCAAGGAAGGAAGGAAGGAAGGAAGGAAGGAAGGAAGGAAGGAAGGAAGGATTGTAAGGGAAACCAAAGGAACTATGTGGCAAAGCCTATCCTTGTGCCAAAGCGCTGAACAGCAGAATGCAGCACCACGCTTCCCATGCCTGAAAGAAACACCGCCGCCAGGAGCGATGGCAGGATCCCCAGGGGATGAGAGAAGGAGTTGACTCGCCTTAAAATTGGAGGAAACCAAGCAGAGCTGATCCTCCATCCTCCTTTTCTGGAAGGCTCCTTAGTGAATTGGGGGGGGGGGTCGGGGGGGTATGTATTGGATTTTTTCCTTGCCATTGATTGGGGCGATGCTTTGGGATGTTTGTTTTTAGGATCCGGGGACAAGCAGATGCTTTAAGGGCTGCTTCGGATCACTTGGCTCCATCAGTAGCTCGGGCCTATGCCTCGGGAAAAACAGGCCTCACTGTCACGATGGGCAGAAGGAATACGAAGCAATAACTTGCAAACATTGGCAGGAGGTTGGGCTTTCACGGGCTGGTTTGGGAATCAATTATGTGTACACCTTTAAAGCGATGTTTGTACTGGTGTTTCCCGTGCAAAACACATGTGCAAGGGTCAAACCATGTTATGCAGAGGTGTTTACTTCGGCCACCATGACATGACCAAAATGTTGAAACACATGCGAGCGACAGCGGGTCTTTGAGGAGCAACACACCTGTTTAGGGCCAGCTGGATTCTGGATGATGAGGTGCATGTATGGCCAGCCCCTGATTTCAGGAAAATCCAGCCGCCGGAGCGGCACCCGGAGTGATACCTGTCAGATTATGGAGCGACACCCATGGCGGCAGTTGCCCCTTCGCGTACTACACTTGTGCGATTTTCGAGCAAGAGCTGCGCAAGCGTACTTCGCGTACCAAACTTGTACTACAAAGTTGTGATTTGCCAGCTGGAGCTGCGGAAATGTACTTCGCGCACCAGACTTGCACTACAAAGTTGCGAGTTTCCAGCTGGAGCTTATGTCGATAATTGTGCATACGTTGTCTCCTTGCCAACCCGGGGCACTCAGAGGCCACGCCCGGCAGCATCTTTGCGGCACCTGCGGGGCAGCAGGCGCAATGTCGCTGCATGTCGCTGCATCGGTGCCCAAATTCGGGAGGCGTTCTCACTTTGCAGTCTTCGGACTTCGCCTCGGGAGCCGAATAGGCCCAGCTGTCTCCAACCTCAATGGGAGGGGGGTGGGGCGGAGATTGAGTATTGAAGCTCGTTAACTGGAAATGTCTGTAACTTGTTCAGCGGGGCCTTTGGCTTTGACATTCCTGGTGAAGGCCTTTGGCAGGAACGACGCTTGGTTATGTGTATGGCAATGTTTGCACGCAGACGCGTGCCCAGAATGAGTGGCATCAGTCCATTGTCAGGACTGACACTTGCCTAGTTGGGCTGAACAAGGCGGACATTGGTGAACCAGCAGAACACTTCAGCAGAAGAGCATCCCATTTTGGTTTGTTTTGGCAGGACGTTGACAAGGTCAGTGGATAGACCAGCAGTGGTGATGGAACGTGGCATGGCCCGACTGAACATGATGGAGCATGTCCCGGAGCTGGTAGATGCCAGCTTTGGGTTCATGAAGCCTTGCAAACACAGGTGGCCAATTCAACTGAAGCTGGGGCGATGCCATGTTTGCAAGTGGGGGCAACATGAGAGAAAGGGATCAGGTAAGGCGGCAGAACCCGGAACTAAATTGCAACCCTGGTCGACTGACATCACAGCTAACTAAAGTTGTGAAGGAGCGCGCGGTCTGCAAACCTGCTGGCAACACGGAGGTGCCTTTGCTAATCAAGTTGCTGCCCAAATAGTGGCGCCCTCATGGCAGGGAGACTTCATGTATGCGTCTTTGTCAACGAGCAATGTCCTGGTGGCCCCACGTGTCCCACTGCACTGGCTCTTTGTTTCTCAAGACGGTCCAACCAAAGGGAATTTGACCAGTGCTTCACTGGGTCCATCAAACTGACATCCTCAAAACAGTTTCCTAAATCTTAGCAAGGGAACATGATTCTTGCTTTTCTGGGTGCTTTCTGAGTATTTGACGGCCAGGACGCAGAAGGCTGGCTTCGGGGATCCCGGGATGAAAAATCGATCGTGTTGGGGTTGCCCTCGACAAATTCAATTGTCTCTGGTACGGATCAGCAAGGGAACCGGGGTTCTCCCTCTATCTGATTGAACCTCCAAAAGTGCAAAAGCGTTTCAAGGGAAACCACCAGCCATTGCAAGATTGGACGTCCAGTGACCCCTGCGGTACAGCCTAAAGAGACAGGTCTTGCAGGCACATAGTTTCTCTACATGCCGATGAAAGTTGATAGGGAGACCTAGTAGGGGATGAGGTTGAAGGCAAAAAGTCAGTAAGTCACGCTATCCCTCTCAGAGGATTGGAATTGGAGCTATGGAGCTTATAATTTCCGATCGGGGCCTCGGTGATGGATTTGTGGCCTGTCGTCAGGTTGCATGCGTCTTACAAGCTTGAGGTGTTTGACACGTCTATTATTCAGATGGGGCTCGCCTAGTCGACGGGGGGCTGTTGGCTTCTGATTTCTTCTGTGGTCCGTGGTTGTCCCCCCCCCTCAGCCAGAAAGGAGAAAGGAAACAAGTGACTATCATTAACATCCCAGGAAGTTATTCTTGGAGTAGCGAACCCATGAAATCACAGTTGGCTTGAGCGTGTGTAGAGGTTCTAATTGGAGGAGGGCCAGGGGAGAAAACATTGAATAGGTGCTAAGGGTTGCGTAAATGTGACTGGTTTCGGCTTCCCGTTGCAGACGTCACAGACAGAGGCTGCGTTGAAGGTGTGCGTCCTTTGCGATGCAACACTGCCTCTTGCATTCTCATTTATGGCTGTGGTTTACTTGGTGATTCAATCTGCCCGGGCCGTCCAGTTTTGCCCCAAAAAGGACACCTGTGCTTACCAAATGCTGTGGCTCTCTTGTCTCCTCTCGCCTAACCGGCCGCAGGCCTCGCGGTTTGCTGTCCTCACCAACGGTGCTGAGGAGAGGGATGCTTTTGTTGTGGGGAGATGGCCCCTAGGAGCCGTGGCTTATTTGGGCTACACCTTTCCAGAGCTTCCAAGGGATTTATTCATACGGCCATGGGCCAAAACCCAAATCCTACCATCCCAATCCCCGCTAAAATACACTAAAATCGGGGGTGCACCTATTCCAAAATGGTACCATTGGTTTTGAACCAATGAATCAAGGAGCGTGGCTCGTGGTGTATCATTGTCACATGTACCACAGATATTTTACACCGGATTAGTTAGCTTGATTAGCAGAGGAGCCGTCGCCATCGCCATTCGGACGGCTCACGGGGCATTGCTCAAGAGCCACGTGGCAACGAGGTCTTTTGAATGTTTGTTGATTTGAATGATGAAGCATGCCCTCCCCCTCCCCCATTAATGCATGGGCGGTGCACGTCTCTCCTTGGTCATCATTTCCCGTTACGGGTTTCCCTCATTTAATCAGGTTTTTATTGGATTGGCGGTTTGGGGATTTGCACCTTTGGCTCTTGTAGATGGTACATGGGAAAACACCCTCAACCCCCAAATCACAAACCCAAATCACCAACTGGAAGGAAACTGATTTTGCCTGCCATGAACGCAAGGGAAGTTCAACCTGCTGGAGCTCTAGAGGTGGGCACCCCCCACCCATTTGACCTAGTGACTTTCGTGTAGTAGTTTTGGCCTAGAGTACCACAGCACTTCCTTGGTGAAATCCAGCCTTGAGCACAAGTCGAAACAGAACTTGAGACGAGATCATTTGAACCCATTGTCTTTCAGGAGCGAGGTTTGATGTTCATTCCTGCAGGTTTCCAGTGAGTCCAAACGTATTCGGGTTATCCTTGCTGACTGTGTTGACCGTTGACTCCGGCGAACTGCACCTCGTCGGGGGAATTCTTTGCAAGAACCCCTCCAAGCAGGGGACCGTAGCAAACATGGGATCAACACGGATCAACCAACCAAGCAGGGGATACAAGCATGGAATCTATCAAGCCGACCAGCCAACCAATCAACCAGCCAGCCAACCAACCCACCCACCTACCCACCTATCACCGGTTCTTCTTCCGCCCGTCACCGGTAGGACCATGGCCCAGCCAAGACGGAGGCCAAGGCCGGGTTTCAATTCGGCGCAACTTTCTTTTGGGGTGGGGTTGCGACACGGAGCCCCTAGAAAAAAACTCAAGGCCGTTTGGGTGAAAAGGCGGCGGGCTTGGAGTTTGGAGTTTCGGCTGCATTGCCCTCAGCTCACTTTATGGTTTTGTGCAGCCGAGTGCTTTGCAACCTTTTTGCTCCTTCTTTTCAACCCCTGCATCCATCCCAACACCCAGCCTCTGTGTCATCTAATTAGCCTTTCCCCCAAACCTGGCCGGAAGCCACCCAGCAAACGAGCGCCTGTTCTGCAGGTGGTGAGCGTCGCATCCATGGCATTGTCGATGGCTGATCTAGAGGACCGGGCATTGTGGAAATCTTGGCCTTAGATGGCATACCAAGAGAACTGTGTTTTTGGACATGTGCAGCCCTTGGTGGAGCTACCAGTTGTTTTTTCACGTTTTGGAGACCAAACTGGGTTGGAGCTTTCTAATCATACCCCCCCCGCTCTCAGGGGTCCTAGCATCCGGCCATTGCCTTTATTCTAGGGGTAACATCCCCATTCTTTCCAGGGATCCTTCTTTCTAGAAAACCACCAAAAATCCGGGGGAATGGCTGGTTTTTGAGAAGAATGGCCGAAGAGACTGGGGGACCCGCCTAGATTGCGTACCTCGTCAGGGTGATGGATATCCACCGCAGGATGCTGGGGCAGAAGAAGTGGCCTGCAAGCACTTCTTCGCCCATACCATGCCCATGGCCCCAGTGGTTTCCAGTTGCCGCTGGGAGGTGGCAACTGGAAACGTGCAACATGGGTCGGGTGCTTGCTTGGGTTGGGTCGGATCTGTTGCTGAGGCTCCTTTCCAATTGCGGCCGAAAGTCGGCGGGGTTACCGTGGATTTGATCCCTGGCAATCTTCCAGCATGAGCGGTCACAGGCTGCTTTTCTTCAAACACAAGTCCATTTGTCACACCTGCTAGGAAAATTGTTCAGGTGTGCTTTCGCATCGTGATGCCAGGCATCTTGTCATTTTGCCACCGCTGCCTGGGGTTGGCTTTCTTGAAAGAGAAGCCATGGAAAAAGCACCCGGGAGAAGGCTTTCCCATTTTTGCTTGGCAGCTCAAGGGCAATCCGCTGCTTGGATTACGAAAGGATTTGGCTTTCAATGCTCTCCCAATTCGGATTAGCGCCAAGTTGGAATTCCGATCCCCCTTTTGTCCAACCCTCCATGACCCCTCCATGATGGGAACCAAGGAAGGAATGCTGGGCCAACCTGCCAATCTTCCATTTTGTGCCCAGCCAGGCCAATCCAGCTGCTGGAGGCTTCCGACGATGGGCAGGGCCCTGAGTTCAGAAGGTGTGGCTGTCACTCGAAGCAAATTGACTTGTTTTCTTTTTCAACTGAAAAGTGAGCTTGTCTCCAGCCCAAAGTACGGAAGGGCTGCCTCCAGCCCAAAGTACGGCCCCTTGGCAACAGGACCACCCTGCCCCGAGGAAAGAGAGCCATGGCGGCCGGCACATGTGACTTTGAGAGTTGTATGAGACGCCCAAGGACCACGACCTTGGCAATGGACTTGGTGGAGGGGTGGCCCCTGAATTTCCATTAAACCAATTTCCCATATTGTGAGGAAGGCTGGAAACATCTGGGGATTTCGAGAATCTGCTGAAGGTAGGGGTGGGAAGCGCCAACCTGGTTGGCGTTCCCTTTTGGAAGAACACCTCCCTTAAAACGTACACTCTGCAAGATTTGTCCGCGTGTCTTGTGCCGCGTGTCCATTCATTGCAAAGCTCGTGCATTGAATGGGTTGGCATGTCGGATAGTTTGGTCGACGCTTGAAAGTTGGCCAGTGAAGGAATAATCTGCCATTGCAATGACGAGCTCAGGGACCGCTCGGTCCTTGTACTCGGGGGAGTCCAGGTGTAGATATAATTTTCGGGTTTATGTTGAGTCAAGCACATCAACGCAACCAAGAGACGATGTCCAGCACTTCAATTCTTTTTTTCCAGGGCACATATCTTCTGAGTCTTACCCCTCCAAATCCAACATTCTACACATTTTGGTCACCCTGTGAAGATTACAAAAACAGGAGTCCAAAATTCGTTCAACCTTTCCACAAATTGGAGATCAGCACGTCCCAGGCGTTGGGTGGCGTCGGTGCAGGCTGGCGAGGCGCACAAACCTACCCTCCACAACTGGGTGTATTTGTTTCTGAGTTGGCACCCCCTTCTTGGTTGGTTTAAAATGGAAGCCAAGCGGACAACCACCATTTCTAGAATGGTCCCCTAAAAGTGATACCCCCAAATGTTGCCCCCCCCCCCCTGCCTCGTGATGAATTCAAGAAAAGGCACTTGAAATTCAACTATCCAGGATGTGCCAAAATGTGACACGATCGCGGGGATGCGAAACCTACATGCCCTAGAGTTGCCGTGAGACAAGCAAGTGCAGCCTGCTTCGTTCAGCAGATCCCACTGGGTTGGTTCAACATGCTCTACGCAAATCCCCTGGGAAAGGAGCCCCAATTGCAACAACATTGTCTGCCCCGACAAAAGGAACACGTTGTCACATGCAAGCACAAATTGAACTCCAGAGGGTCATCCACCCCACCATGTTCAAAGCATGCAATCATATAGTGCATTCTCACTTCAGCTTGTTGGCCTCGTTTCAAAGGCAAAAGCCTCGTTTTGTGGGGGCCTTGACTTCTTGGGAACCTCCCCTCCCTTCTTCATGGAGGCCAGGTTTCCTGGTCAAACGTTTGGATTGCTTACCCAGTTTTGACCCATCCCCGCCTTTCGGCCGCCCGTCCAGGGCAAGAAGTCGCCCCTCCTGCGGCTCTGGAGATGCGGGCCGCCCAAAGGCCCGACTGGGCGAGGTATGGGTCAAGGGGGCTACCAAAAATGGTGGCGTTCCTGTTACGGTTTCCCTTGAAGAAATGATGCTCCTTTTTTTCAAATAGGTTGGTGCCAACCAGCACACGCTGTTGGCCGGCGCCTGTTGTGCACCTAGCCCTTGGTGGATGAATTGGAGGTCTGGGTTGGAGAATATCATCCAAAATGTCAGGGTCGCCCTTAACTCAGGCCTGAGTATTACTAATCTGGGGTGCCTAAACCGGCTCCTTAATATCCATCAAAGTTGCGCGGTGGATATCAATTCCCTCTAAATCGATGTCCAACCCAAGGCCCCGCAATTCAGACCCACTTGCCTGCTGCGTAAGGAGCCCACAACATTCTTGCGCTCATCCCGTTTGCTGCTCCAAGGTGGTTTTGCGGGCAGTGCCCTTCAAAGCTTCCGCTGTCAAAGTCAGCTTCAGCTTTGCCAGAAAATGGCTCGTAGCTTGAAGAATTGCTTCTATCGCATGCTCAAAGATGACATTCAGCAAGCGGAAACTACGCGCGTTACAACAAATCCTGCCTACCCCCTTGGTTTTGTAGCGATTCGAGCGGCCAATCCACGGTGTACCTGTAGTTGTGTCCGAGCAGCCATATGTGTATATATGTGTATATATATATATATATACGCGCACTTCAATGTAGCTTAATACTGGCACGGGCACAACTGTTGACATGTACTGAGTGTACATATGTGTATGTATGTGCACGCATACGTATATGTATATATTTACATATATAATTATATATATATATACAAATATGTGCGTATATCCGCGCGAAGCAGTCATCGGGACACCTCCTTCTTGCAGAAGTACCTGCCGGGTCCTTCAAAATAGCTTGCAGGAGAGGAGCCCTGGAATTCCAGTGGCAACTTATGGCACCCCATGGATAGGCAGAACGAGTCTACCCCTCGGGTAGGTGATCGGCCCGGAAGAAGTTCTCGCCAGGCCTCGATTGCACCACCACGCTGCCTCGGCCCAAGGAGCCGGAGACGGGCTCAATCAGGTAATGTTGACCCCGGATTAATCCCCTTGTTTATAAATATGGGGGTGTCCCTGGTTTTCGTGGGGATGTATCACTTTTGGAGGGGAACGTTCCCATATTAATAAACGGTTTTTTCATCCGGGGGTCAATCAGGTAGAAGGTGTCGATGCACCCTGGCGAGAAACTACCAGACGACTCAAACCAAAATGGGCAGCATTTAGCCATCGACTGTTCACCCCACTGTAGTTTATGTTTTCCCTCAGAAAGACCAGTGGATGGACAATTTGATGTTTGATCCTCGTCGGGTTTTGAAGGGGTCACCCAGATCCCCAAGAGACACCTGAGTTTGGAAGTTGTCAAGGCTTGAAAACTTGACATCTTGAACATTGCCAGGCTTAACTAGCCTGTTTGCCTGTTGTTATATGTATATATATATATATATATGTGTGTGTGTGTACGTATGTTTTCAAGCAGCCTTCCTAAAGGGTCTCAGGTTTCACAGCCATATTCGATGACTAGACCAAAAGCGGCCACCAAAGAGCGATGAAACACGTCAGTAGCATTGCACGTTGCTTTGCTGGGCCACAACCAAAATCTGGCTAAGGGACAGCCTTAAAATAAATAAATATATATATATATAGATGCGGCTTTCATTCTGACTCCAGTACTTTTGCGGGGCCTTAAAATGGTTGAGATGTTTTTTTGTCTTTCTTTTTTTAACGAATCGTGCGCGCACAAGCCGCCCCCAAAAAGGAACCCACGCCGGACCACGCATTGGGATTGGGCCTTGTTTAGAAGATCCCTATGCGCGCAGCCATGTTGAGATTCCCACCCCAAAGAATGTTTGGAAGGGGATACTTTTATGTTCTCAATGGGGTAGGGATTTGTTGGGTATTTTTCCTAGGCCAATGATTGTGGGAAATTGGGCATCAGGCCAACTTTTTGCGATACTGGGGTACCCTTAAAGTATCAAAGTAGTCATAAGGACGGTCCGCTGTCCTATCACATGGTTGTTTCCCACAATCGGCAGGAACAAACCGCAATTTTGGCACGCAAGATGGCAAGTCGTCCCTCACCCCCCTTCTCCCCCTTCCCCCCCCCCCTTCCGCCCCCAGCCCCCCTTCCCCCCCCCCTTTTCCCGCCCCTGCCCCCTTCCCCCGCCCTTCCCCTCACCCCTCCCCCCTTCCATTTTCGGGGTTTTCGGTTAGGTCATGCTCCCAGCACTTTCGATTCGTACTTTGCCTGGACACTGAGGCCGCTGACTGCGCTGTCGTCGGTGCAATCGGTGGCCTTTGATGGCGCGGCACAGCACCTGGCGGTCTCGGGCCAGGACGTGTTGCCAGAACTAGTCCCTTGGGTGATTCAACCAGTGGTTCACAGCATCTGGTTCCATAGCTTCTTGGGCTTTTAGTGGGTTTAGCGGTGAGCAGCGCGAGAGCCATTTGTGTTTCAGGCGAGTACACCCGTTTTAAGTGATCTTGGGTGGCCTCTTGGCAGTCACCACCACTCCCTGGTTTTTTGGAACTAACGTTTTCAAAAGACTGACAGGACAACCGTGCGCGGCAGAACTTAATGGCCCAAGCCTGAGCAGTCAAGCATGCCGCATCACGGACTCTGGCGATATCTTCAGGCGACGAGTGCCCTTGGGACTTCTGATCTTGTGACCCGCACGCACCTTTCGGGCCATGCCCAACCTCAAACAAAATCGGGGGAGGCTGGCCCCATCCCTTTTGCAAGGAACTGGGGAGCTCGGGTGTGCCAAGTTAGTATGTTGGTGACTTAGGTGGCTACCCACTTATACGTCCCCTAAGAACATCCAACCGCCCATTTGGGGCCCTGGTTGGTTTGTAACACCCAGCGAATCAACCACACCAGCAAGCGAACCAACCAGTGACCAGAAAATGTAGCACATTCGCCTTGGCCCTCCGAGCACGTCTGAACTCCTGACCAACACACACACACATATACATATGTATATATATATATATATACATATTTTTCACCGCTTTCCGGATTAAACCCGTCCAAGTGGTGAATCTCCACTATAAGGGGACACCCCCAACAAACATCAACCGGGGGTTAATGAATCCATGGCTTCCCATTCGAGTCAAAGCTGGGCAGCAAGCGCACCCGAGGTTTGGGACATGAGCCGGGCGCAGGGCGGCGCGATCAACCTCATCGCCCAGCAGACCGGCGCGGAGACAACTTGCCTCAGGCGTGGGGGGTTTGGGGATGGCAGGTGGCCCTTACAACTACGCCCTTAGGAAGGATTCCCCTCTCAAATCATGTGCGCTAAGTTTTGGGAAGTACTCTAAACCAGGAAGTGGCTCCCAACATCGATTTTTTTTGTGGTTTCCTTTGGCCAGCCAACAGGGGCTTACCCCCCTGAACAAAAAGCACGCACGTACATGTCTTCTTCAAAAATGCTGACCCCATATCAACCTACCTGGCGGATTAGGTTGGGGCATTCTTCCACAGGAACGGATCCCAAAGTTGCATCATTGCTCCCCCCGGTCGCCAACTATCAACTGGATTTTGCGAATGTGTAAGACCAGGTGATCAATTGTTTTTTTCCAAGTATTTCGGTGAATGACAAAACATTAAACGGGTTCTTCAACTTGGGGCCATTTGAAGATTTCCCGACGCCCCATTGCCGGATTCTTCTTTTCGGATCCGAGATGTGCGGGATCGATCGCTGCAGGTTCTCGCCCTTTGAGGAACTGGCGCTGGTGAGTTGCGGCCCGGAGAACATCCGCTTCTGGAAGGTGAAGGCTCGCGTGTTGCAGGGCGCGATGGGGGTTGGCGCGTCTGTTGTCTAAGGCGACCAATTGTTGGTTCTGGTTTTCAAGGGGCCAAAAGCAGAAGGTGCAGTTCTTCGGCCCAAACAAAGCTGTGTCTTGGGGTGAGGGTACCCTGTTAAAGGTCGGTTTATAGGGGCGCAAACGAACGAGGAAAAAACAAATAAGACAAAAACTGCGCACATGTTGGGTGCCCAAGTTTCACTCTCGGCCATTGACTTCTGATTGGGGTGTGGCACCTGGGTCGGATGACACGTGGGTGCGCCCTTTTGCGTGAAGTCCTTTCCAGCTGGTGGTGCAGGGGAACAATATCAAGGATAACCATGCTCATATAGCCAATTCCTTTCGGCTTCTCTTTCAACCAACCCAAAAAATTGCCTCATATAGCAAATTCCCTTCGGCTTACCTGTCAAGCCACCCCAGAAAGAATGTCCCTTCGCCTCAAGTCCAGACACACCTATCAGGCGGAGGTTTGGGGCTCTTCCTCCCTCTCTGGCAGGATAAGCACATTCCTGGCTGCTTTGCCGGGCACTGAGCCATGCGACGTGCCAGGCTGCCGTTCAGATGAAAAGGACGGGACCAAATTCGTAGCCACGCCCCCACTGCAAAAGCCAGACGTGTTGAACAGAGCTCAACTTGTTGTTTATACATGTTCTTACTTCCTGAGTTCCTGTCCTTCATTTTTTTTGGGAGGACAATTCCTAGTGAACAAAAGCAAGTTCGGACTTTGTTTGGCCAACTCATTTCATCGGAAATGGGTTGTTTATGAACAAGCAGTTGATGACTGTTGTGGATTGGGGCTTGGCCCAATTCTGGCTGGATCGCAAAGGGTTGGGGTGAACACCTTTTGCCAAGTGGATGTTCCTTGTTGTAGGGAAACCCCGGCTTGGTTGATTTAAAAGAGAAGCCAAAAGGCAAGGGGGTTCCCTAAAAAAAGACGCCCAAGTGGTAGTCCACTGCTCCAGCTTCCGGACTTGTGGTGCTTTTTTGGAAGTTCATTCTAGTTTGAATCGTAAATGATGTCCGGACATAAATGACCAATCCACTGAGGAATCCTCAGGAAGCGGGTGATCTTTGCCCCGCACTCATTACAACATGTGCTGACTTGTTCTCAACATCTAGCTAAACCAGCCACATGCTTTTTGGGTGCCACCTTGAGTTGGAGTTCACATCTTGGGAGACCTTGGGAATGCGCCGTGAAGTTTGCCACCGTGAAGTTTGCCACCGGTTCGCTGGGGAGACCTTCCTCTTTTTGTTTGGTCTCCCCATGACAGGATTGGCCTCGGAACGGTGTTCTGACAATTTTCAGCCAAGAACCCAAACACCCCATACCCGGCAAACAGTTTCACCCCCAGACCCTTTCCTCCCAATTGATATGCCTGTTGTTGTTTTTTTTGTGGTCGCATACCGGCCCCCATGGATGCTCAGGTGCCCCTAGGTGCCACTGGGAGGCAAACCAACTTCACCTGCCTGGGCTTCGAGTGCCGCAAAATGGGCCGGGCACCGAGTGGTTTTTCCATACTTATACACTAACATGGCACCTGACAGCGGTGTTTTTTACAAGAGGAGATTGATCTTCGTACCCTCCCAGAGGTGCTATGTTAGTGGGAGGGAGGGTATAGGGCTGCGAACATCCTGCTGCACCTGAGAAATCCTGGAAGGTCGATGCCCCGGAAATGCCATGCCACAAAGGTTTCTCGGCGGCGTCCAAGTGGTGCGAAATGCACTTTGTTCATCCGCAGCAGGCTCATAAAGTGTGCCCTTTTTTCAAGGGCACGGGTGGCCAGGTTGAGCCCGATTTGAGTAACCCGCAGGCCACACAAACTTCCTGAGCCCGGCTGCTGCAGAGAAGGTCAGGGTCTTCGCCGCTGCCTTGGTCGAGATGGAAGTCAACGGAAAAGCGAAGCCCATTGGGTTCCCAACTCACTCAAGCAGAAGGCTCAACCTCCTACAAAGAACTTGGCCCGAACATAGCCACCAGGTTACGCGAGTGGCGCGTTTCTACCGCAAGAAGGGCAGAGTGTCAGTTAATGGGAGGGGGACCCTCGGTGTTTTCAGCACCATGTTAGCAAACCTAACAGCTTTGCTTGGCCTCAGGTGGCCACCGGGGATGGCAGAGTGGTGCAGGTGAACTACAAGAGCCGAAAGGTATTAGCGGTGCACCAGCTCCACAACGAGGACAGCGGGTGCGTGAAGATCGGTGGATGCATTTTTTTGGGGAGCTCACCTGAGAATCTCTTGGGGAGCCCTTGCGGCAGGTGTGTGCACGGTGGTTGTTTGCTATTTTTGCCAGAATGCGAGGAGATATGATTTGCCAAAGTTGGGCCGGGTGATGTTTCATGCGGACATGGTTGGTTGGTTGGTTGGTTGGCTGGCTGGCTGGTTGGTTGTTTGTTTGTTTGTTTAGTTGTTTGCTTGGTTGGTTGCTTGTTTGTTGGTTGTTGGTTGTGCCTTTGTTGCTTGGGTTGGCGAAACAGAAAAGGTGCAGGGATACTAGGCTTGTGAGACATCCCAGAATGGATGAGTTGGTTCCCCCCAAAAGTGAAGGTTCCCTCTAAATGAGAGTCCTGCCTGGTTGCTACAAGGAATCCTTCTTACCCCTCGCGTAGCCCCGCAGGCTATCACCTGGATTTGCTCGAACGACGTGTTCTGCGTGACAGCTGCCGCGGACAAGCTGGTGCGAGCCTGGACCTTACGCAAGATGGCGGTACCCGCAACGACAAACTAGCGAGGTCAGGGGGTGAAGGGAGCCCACAATAGCTCATCCGTGAAGGTTCCTGTTTTGGGCCCTTTCCTTCAGGTGGGTTGGTGAATTCTCACGGGTATGTGCGCAGGTTTGGAAGCGCCCCATGAGAGGCCACTGTTAGACGTGGTGAACTCAGCATTGGAAACACGTATGCAAAGGCCTCCAAAAAGTGCAACTGCTTTTTTTTGAGCGCATGCATGCCAAACTTGTCCTTAAAGAACTGCCCAAGGGCGGAGACAACGCGCGTCCACTGAAACCCTGCCTCCATACACAGATCCATACTAATGTCTCGTTTCGGCAGTGAATCGTAGCCCGGCAATGAACTGATCAGCTCCTGTATGCAAATCCCGTGACCCCTGTCCACAACTTGAGCATGTTCCAGCCAGATGTTTGGATATGTGCAAACCACGTGAACCCGGCAGTCCAAGAGATTCGGGACTGGACTTACGCTCAGGAAGCCTTGCTTGTTTGGTTGTTTGTTTGTTTCGTGGGTTTCCATCAGCATGCCAAGCAGTCACCGGCCTCTCCTCGCAAAATTGGCAGGGATAAGTGCAAACAGCATTGTAGAACCGAGTCATTATTTCATGGCGAAGTCAGGCATTGGACCCTTGAAGGAAGACACCAAGACTTTATGTCCAGGGCCCCTGTTACAAACCTAACCCGGGAAAGCCATGTTTAAGGAGTCCAAAATCCGCTGAGTTTATGTCCTGGTTTGTCGGGAAAATAGAGCAGGACTGATGGCTCCACGAAAAAACTGGACGTATGATTGGGCCGCCTGTTGAGCGCTTTCAGCAGGGTGCTTTTGTTTGTCCGGGGCCCTTGGCCAGGGAAACCCAATGCAATGCCTAGTTTATGGCGAGTGATTTCACCGGGGCCGGGGGCAATCGAGCTCACTATGATGACTTGATTGGGAGGTTGTTTCCCCAACCACAGTAACATGGGCTGCTCCTATTCATCAACCAGGACAAATCCACTGGGTGTCAGGTTCTGGAAGTGGAACATTTGCAGCATGGTTCCCTTTTTTCTTTGGCTTAGGTGGGTTCAGCTCAACACCAAGAAACGTTTCTCCACCTTTTGCCCGAATCCAGCAGCTTCGGGTTTTCGGTGGGTTTCTAGAAACGAAGACCTTAGAATGGTTCCTGCCCCTTTCCTACCTTTCGGGTCACGATGCGGAGCCAACTGTTTGGAGTTGGGTCGTACCTTTTGGTTTATGTGCTTTCCAAGCCCACGCCAGCTGTTGACCCGTGTTTGTAACATTGTATGGGCTTGAAAAAGAAGGAAGGTTGGGAAGCGCAGCTTTGGTCGCTCACCTTTTGCTCATCTTTTGGCCCCCTAAAGTCGAAGTCGGGTTCCTTCTTCCAAAAGGTTTGGCCTTTGGACTTCAACTCCTTCTACCTGCACTCATCCCACGACTCCCCGGTGGTCGGCATAGACGTCAGCTCTGACGGCGGCAAGGCGCGGCGGGTTGCGTGGAGATGGGTTGGTGATTCGCTTATATTTATTTTGTGGCTTAACGTTTTCAAGCTCCAGCAAATGTCGGCCAGAGTGAAACAAACAAATGATTTGTCCGGGTTAGGGGACAAAAGTTGAGGTATTCGAGGCAGATTGATTGGGGTGGGGAATGAGTGATTGCAACAACCAGGGGAAGGTTGAAGCAGGTTGGCCCAATCCTGCCCAAGGTTGGTTTGCTATGTTTGCTGTTTGGATCTTGGACTTTGTTCCATTGCATGGCGAGTAAGGCACTTGTCAAATAGATGGCTGTGGCTCAAGTAAATGTACCAAAATGGCACCTTGGTAAATGGAACCAAAAAAGCAGAAACCTGCGTAACCCTAGGTCTTTAATTTGAGCCACACCCAAATATATGGCAACTACTGTTTTGCTCTGCGAACGTTTGCGTCGACATTCCCCGCTGACCTCAGGGCAGCAATGCCGCCACGCGGCGTGGAATTCTTTTTTCCGTGGGGAGGGGGTTCTTTAGGCGGACGCCAACCGCAAAACTTCGGGATTAAGTGGCTGCTCAGGTAGCATAGGCCACATGCCACAGCCCTGCATGGCCAAACGCCCCCTCAGCACCGCGAAGAAGGAATTCAGCCAATGCTATTATTTTGTCATCGACCCATATCAGGCCTGTGGTTTCCGTCCGACTCTCTCTGAGTACCGGGTACACCCTTACGACCAGAGCGGCCCTGCCAACTGCTTTCACAGGACACGTCGTGAAATTATGTCCGGCCCGGGATACGTTCAGGCACCCTTCGCCAATGGGAAGGGCGATCTTGTCGCTTACATATACTCAGTTACTTATAGATTTATTTCGAGGCCCTTGAAAAATGGCGGGTATACCCAAAATTGCGGGGTCATGGCCCTTCTTTTTCCTTCGGGTCATGGAGGCTTCAGGTGGATTTGATAGGACTTTCAAGATGGCGCGTCCGCCCGGGGCACATGGCAAAGCATGCATAACGTCTCGAAGCAGAATCTGTCCTCTACACAGAATGCAGCCGGAGAATTCGAAAGGGGGTTCTTTATGGAAACCTGATTTTGGGCTTGGAAGCCCATGTCTTCAAACGGAGGTGGAAAAACGGACATCTGGCGTCTCAGCATTTCAGTATAGTTACCAAAGCATTGGATAACAACATACCCCTTCACGGCAAAACAGGTCTAGCTCCCCTTCATGCGTCCACTGCCGTTATCTTTTTTCAGCTTTTTTGCACTTTGGTGTTACGCAATTTGATGTGTTTTTTCAAGAGGTGCTCTGCAGCAGTGCGGATGGGTCCGTGGGCGTGCCGGGCCGCCAGAGGGCTGCAAACGACTCGCGGGGTGGGAATTGGAGGGAACTGGCTCCATACCTCTCCAAGTTCAACTGCCCGGCTTTGGAGCAAATAAGGAGGGGTTATCGATGTTCCCACACGAGCAAACAAGTAAACCGGAGAGTTCCATGCACCAGCCAGTCAACCTTTCCTGCTATTGGGTTGGATCTTTGGACTTTAACTTCTTGGGAAATAAAGGCGTTTTCCACTAGACCCTCAACAGTTAAACCTTTGCAGGGTCGTCAACAGCAATCAAGCTTTGGAACCATAAGATTACGTTGAAGGGGATCGTTTGCCAGATGCTTGAGTTTGGTAAATGCCAAGTGTGGTTCACGGCGGTACTCCTCCTACGGCTGCTGATAGAGTTTTCTTTCTCTCTGTTTTTTTGATTCTTGAGGCCCTGAGCCTCCGGCTGTTTCCCATGAAAGTGTTAGTTGAAGTCAGCTGGACATGTCACAGATTACCAGTGTCACGTTTGGTGTACCTGAGTCAGATGTGCAAAGCTTGCATGCAGCTGAGTTTTCATGCAGGCTTTTAGCTGCGCAAGTCTCAGCATGGTTTGACATATTCCCCCTTGGCTGCACATTCAGGGGTGTTGACATGGCCGGCACATTGAGGTTAGACGTGCGCACGCACCAGTACCAGGACATTTTCAGGCGCTGCGCAGTGTTGGCCGAATGCATTGATTTGCCCCGCTTTGGCACATTTGGGCGTCACCCGAAGATGGCTTTCGGAGAGGTCAGGGGGTGGCACCTGAAGCACATGGAAGCTTCTGCCCAATTGCAAAACATTTAAAAGCAATCTTCACTACCCCAATAAGGATAGACCAACCCCATTTTGTCTGAGAAAATGGAGAGGGGGTTCAACCTTGCCTGGGGGGTCTTCAGTCATACCATTTGTTTGGTTTCCTTTCGGCAGGGTTTCTGTTTTTGCCGACGCTCGGTGCCTGGGTAGGAGTTTTTGTTTTCCCCTCGTGGGAAGCCAACGGGAAAATCGCAGGGTTGAACATGACAGACGCACAGAGGGGGGGGAATATCGAATTGGGATTCCAACCCCTGCCATTTTTGAAGTAACCTACCCTCCCTCCCACTTACATAGCACCGGTGGGAGGGTACCTGGAAGATCAACTTCCCCTTATAGGGACCATTTCTGAGGTGCCATGTTAGTGGGAGAGAGGGCCATTTGGGGCCCCAAAGCTGGGGGGGGCATACTTCAGCCACACGTAGCTCTGCTCTGAACCTACCACAAAACTGTAGGTTGACACCAGGGGCTCACATGCGTTTTTACATTCTGCCTTTAAACCAGACACATGTTCTGCTCTTCAGATCCTGGTTTCGGAGCGCTGATATGCGTGGAGAGTCCTTTGGTGCATGAAGCCCAATCGGCCCAAGCATGATAGACCAGACAAGACCACGGCGTGAGCTCAGCTTAGACATACTTTGTTGCATACATATACATATATATAATTATATATATATATGTGTGTGTATATATGTAGGTAGATATACATTTGGGAGTCGCTTTTGGGATGTAGGAAGCTGGAAGATGCTCAAGCACACAATGATGTGTTCTTCAAAGGAATGTTTAGTTGCCCACCCGGCAGTGGTACTCGGTTGGCGGGCATCCTCTTGATTGGCAGTGTTTGTTTGGGTTGTTTGTTTTTTGTGGCGTGGGGAGTCCCTGACAAACCCGTTTGTTTGTTTTCAGGGCCAACTTATGGGATTGATCCCACACCTACTCGAGAAGCCCTGGCTTGAATCTTTGCTCGGTGTTTGCCGGGTCCCTGCTTGTATCCCTACAAGATGTTTGGCTGAGATTTCCTTTCTAATTTCGCCGGGCGTCCCCTAGACTCACGCAAACCCATTTGGAAAGTGGATTCTTGGATGGTTTGCGGGCTTAATGCTGAATGGATAGAAGCCCTATACTTATGAGGGCTTGCAGAGGGCTTGCCTGGGGGTGAACTGGTAAACACTTATCTAGCTCCCAGGCCATCCAAGTAGGAAGGAATTGTGAAAAGGCCCCTTCCCCATGAAGCTCTTTAAAGCTGTATCTTGGAGAGTTGCGACTGAATACCTGTGTGGCCATGTTTGGTTGCCAACTGCATTCCTGCCTGATGGCGTGGTCGACCTTATGCGTCACCCACATGAACAAGTCGACGCGCGGCGTGCGCGGCGCGTCTTCTGCGGCAAGACTCTTCTCGGTTGTCAAGCAATCCGAACGGAACCTGAAACCCATGCTGGTTCTTCCAAAGAAACCTCCGGAACAAGATCGTTGCCCAGCGACGGCAAATGGAGGACTCGCCGTATGTTTGGTTCTTTGTTTTGCATTTGTGGTTCAAACCCATCCATGGTTGATGGCTGAAACCCACAACGGTTTCATCTTGGCGACCCGCTCTGGTTGATCCTGGCTAGGGGAGCTGTGGACACCTGGAAGGTGATGTTCCCCTCTTGGCTTTGGTCGAAAGGAGAACGTGGATTTTGAAGGTCCCTCATGTTCAGCAACATCCAGGGGAATCCCTTGCGCCCACTCCAACTTCTGATAAATCCCATGAATAGGGGCAAGCCACCTGCAGGTCTTCTTTTGCGGGGTTCTTGGATTCCTGGACATGGGGCCTTCGCCCTGAAGGTCGCACCAGGGTTCCATCATCCAAGCGGTGCGACGCCCAAGCGTCGTTCAAAGCGCCTTCAAGGCTGGCCAGGAAAGCCAGACAAGAGGTAGAAACCGAGGAAAGGAAACCAAACCAATGTTTTCAACATTGGTTTAGTCTCAACATTGGTTCCTTTTCCGTTGGTTTCCTTTTGTTTTTCCCTCCCGCTGATTTTCGGGCCCTTGCGCCAGGGTCTTGAGCGCAACCTTGGCTCTGCGGGTCGTTGCATCTCTTTTCGGTCAGTGAGCTGCCGGAAGTCAGCTTTTCTTATCGCATCTTATCGCTTGCCCTGTTGGAATGGATGGGAAGGCGTATGGTTCTGCAGCTCTGCGCAGGTCGAAGTGTGGTTCCCTTTAGAGCAACCCTGATTGGGTGCTCCCCAATACAAGATGAATGCCAAAGTATCAAGAAGCTACAGTTAGGCAGGATTGACTAAGCAAGAACCCTTGCGGTCACTGATCGGAAGGACAGTATTCGTTGTGATGTGTGGCCCGACTGGCTGAGGCAAAAACCAGTGACTGTGTGCCACCCTTTTGCTCTTTCATTCTTTGGCATGTCCTCTCTACCCAAAGTGTCAACTCGAAAACCCCTCCCTTAACCCATGAAAAGGGCGCTCTCCGCCCAGAAAACACTCCACCCCCCCCCCTCATGAAAAAAACCAGGTGTTGCTTTTCCTCGACTTTTCGGGTCGCTGGCTGCTGGCTGCTGGCTCGGCCTCAGGCTATCTCCGACGTCTTCAAGGAGCTTGCGACCATCTCCAGTGGGGCGGTGAAGGTGTCGGGCGATGGGCCGAAAAATTGTCGTGACAAATCCAGCGATGTTCAGAGGCGTCTTCGTTTTGGGGGGCTGCCTTTTCTTGGGCTCCATGTGAAAAAGTGGCCAACGTGGCGGATAATTGTTATTTGTTTTAGGGGTTTGAAACATCACCCTTTGGACACTGTAAAGGCGAGATGCGCTACCGGAAGATGCAGGGAACTCTAGGTTGGCACGCGTCCTTAAACATCCACTGGACTTAGAAGCATCATCGTATTGAACGAAGATAACATAAGGCCGAATCGAGGTATTCGACGAAATTTGTTTGGGGGGTCGTTGCTCGGGGGGATTGGATGCTATGATGTATTTTTTTCTTTGGGGGGGGGGGCTTGTTGGATTCGATGTTTATCACCAGGGGGTCCCCTTTCAACTACCCTCTTCAACAATCATGGAAGTGGACAACAGACCTTCTGAATATGATGGTAGTCTTTCCATCCCCTCCAATCGTAAGAGGGCAACCCAACAAAAAAGGGGCGTGCTTATCATCCCATGGCTGCTGGATAAGTGATAGCCGCCTGTCAGTTTCCATGTTTCTAGTTTGAAGTGAAGCCTCGATTCCGTGTCCTTTGGCTGCTGACTCATGAGGATAGCGGGGGCCCTTATTTCTTTTGTGGAGGGAATCTGCATGAGGCAACTTGGGTGTGTCTCCAAATGGGGTCACCGTCCGCCTTCGTAAATCCAAAAAGGCACCCTCAGAACAAGACGCGCCTGGGCACAACACCAAACCCAAAACCAACGCCTACAGGATCAGACACATCACATTGGGTGTGTCTCAAAGTTAGGACCAGGGTGCTGTCACGTTCACTTCCTTAGAACAATGCTAATCGGCTGCCATGTGCCGATGAGCCATATATTTGGGTCCCTCCAAAAAATCGTTTTGAGGGGTTCTCAAGATCTATTGCTTTGGGGGGTTGTGTTTAGATGTTAGATGTCCATTTGGAGTGTAATTTCACTGGAATGTGTTGGGCCCCCTGGCTTCCATGTCCAACCATTTTGCGGCCCCCAACCTATGAGCACCGCAAAACATACTTGAACGACTCCTGGAGATCCCAATTCCCCACACACAGGTCTGGAAGCTGCCGTGTTTGCAGCAAGCGCATGAGTTCCCGGTGGAGGACCTACCGCAGGCCGGGGGTTGGCACTGGAACCTACCTGGGGTCTCCTCCATGTTTTTTGCTCAGGGTTGGGGGGATTTATTTCTACCTTGGGTCCGCCGTATGTGTGTGTGTGTGTGTGTATTTTAACAAATGCGTGGCACTTTCGTAAGGTCGGTAGATAGAGAGATAGATAGATCGAAACGTAGAACTAAAACGACAATTAGACATGTAAATGGATGGAAAGAAAGCAGGTAGATAGATAGATGGATGGATGGATGGATAGATAGATAGATCGTCGATACATAGATAGATAGCCAGATGACCTATATACACCTGAAGGCCCAATTGATACTGAATGTTGTGCTCGAATGTTTTTGGCGAAAAAGTGCCCGAAACGTTTCTGGGAGCCAGCGACTTGGCGCTAGTCGCAAGTGACCAGAATTTGGGCATTCAAAACTGCTTGTTCCCAAACGGGCAGAAAAAAGCGCTCGAACTCCGAAAATGCCATTGAGCGCTTTTGTCTGTATCAATTGGGCCCCCAGGCAGACAGACAGGTAGAGAGAGAGAGCAAGAGTTAGATAGATGGAATTAAGATTTGAAGCCGTAAAGCTATAGGCCTCAAAGCTCATGCGGAGTTGGGGTTGGAAATTGAGTTGAGTTGGGGTGGGGTGGGGTTGAAGGGATATATAGATGGCTGAGGGAGATAGATAGACAAATAGGTAGATAGATATAGAGCGATAGATGCAGAGAGCGGTAGAGATAGGGCTAAGATAGATAGATGGATAGATGCATAGATGGATAGATGGATAGATGGATAGATAGATAGAGAGATATAGATAGAGAGAGAGAGAGAGATAGATAGAGAGAGAGAGAGAGAGAGATATGTAGAGAGATCAATATGTAAATCCAAAACAAGGAAGGAAAGACAGGAAGAAAAAACAACAAAGAAGCACAAGAACAGAGAGAAGATAAGAAAGACATAACAAAACAAATAAGACAATAAGAAGCAATAAACACGAATACAGCAAGACGGATGGAAAATGCGCGATGCAATTCTCTAAGGAAATGAATAATAGAAAACATAAGAAACACGAGAACATAATTCTGGTTTTCATGATTTATAAACTTCCGACCGGTTATGGAACCCTACATCCGTCTGGCCCCTATGCCTGGCACCTCTTCTTTAGAACCTCGCCTCAAAAAGTCAGTTTCTGCAGCGCGTTTTCACAGGGACAGGTCCCAGGGAGTGGCCGCCATGGACGCCGCAATTCGGTTCATAGGGCCGCAACCTGTTTCATGGTTGTGGTTGGGAAGCATTTTGCATTTTTGCTTATTGTGGTTAGTGGGAAACCCCCACTTAACTACTAAAATTTAACTTTTTGCTCCCCTTCCAACGTCAACCAAGTTTTCGAACCCGGAGGTCATCGACTTCCATCCTTGTCGGCACCTGCTGGCTGTGGGCTTCCAGCCCCGGCCTGGGTAATGCGGCAAGGCTGGGTTTGGCTTTCCTTGCATTCCAAGGAAAACGGATCCGTAGCTTCCCTCAAAACATCTTAGAAGATGGCCTGGATTCTCCCTGGAAAGGTGGCTTTGAGCATGGCCTTGCAGAAAGGCCAGCTTGATTGGCGAGTAGTTTTGCCGTTGACATGGGAAGAACCGGGGCTAAATTCGGAAACACTTGACACCAGGAGTGCCATGGTCAAGACTCCCTTTGCCTTGGAGTAGAGTCCCTTTGCCTTGGAATAGATAGGGGAGGTCATCGAGTTTGTGACAGTTTTTAACATCGATTGCAATGGCCCAAGTTTGGCTTTGTTGGGCCGACGCTTAGCAGAGCCCTTGCCTTGTGAAAAATTCGGCCTCGGGGAGAAACTCATCAGAGGTCTTGTGAGAGTCAGAGGTGGTACAAAACTTGAACGGCCCTTGTCCCTGCATGCTGGACATTTGAAGACAAGGATTCCTTTGTTTCAGAGAGGGAGGGATAATGCGTGGAATGCGTGGCACGCACCCAACAGAGGGATCCGTCCCTGTAGAAGGGAAGTGCTGCATGAGGGGCGCGTGTGTGCGGGTGTCTGTTTTTGGCTGGAGATGGATTTGCAAAGCCATGAGCCATGGCCGTGTGCCCGGTGGCAGCGCGCATTTGCCTTCTCAACCCATGGCCAACCCACAGATGAAGGATCCTTTCATGTAGGTTCTTAGTTCATGCGTTGCACCTAGCCCTTCATTTGTTCAGGTGATGCTTGTTCGCTCCATGCTGACGGCTCTAGAGGAACATGCCCACACGCGCAGACACAGCACACACACATATATATATATATGTAGTATGCATGTGTGGATGATGAAACCCATGCGCATGTTTTGGGTCGCCTCTCAAGCAAATGGCAGACCATGGGTTTCGCGGCACAAGGGCAGAGAGACGTTCGCTAGGAGGAGAAAAGCAAGTCATTGACTTAGCGCGTTTCTCAGTTTGGTTCCGAGCCCTTGTCTTTCGTGAAGTCTAACCTGTGCTTGATGATCATGGGCTGCGCAAGACATCAAACGAGGCCCGGCATTTGCGTTGGGCCGATCCACTTGTAAGGCAGAAGTGGCCGACCAGGTCAAGCTCCTGATTTCAAGAAGCATACTCCAGATGCTCGCTAGTCGTATGCTCCTATACTTATGGCTAAATACTGCTTTTTGAGCACCCTGCTCACCCTTTCACAAAATTTGAGGGCATTCCTGGTCCCAAAGAAAATTGCAAATCGGCCCTAAATGAAATGACCAAGGATCCCGCCCTGATACCCCATTAATCTCCGAGGGATCCCCATCTGCATTTTCTTCACCCGCGTCGCAAGCACCCAATTGGACCTAGGTCTGGGGCGGTGCGAATCTATGACGTGGATACGCCTGCCAAAGCCCCGGTACCAAACACACGCCATCCAAACACATGACAGGGTTTCTGAAAGGATGCATGGGCACCAGCAGTTCAAATTGACTAAACATGCCTTTCGACCTTTTCTCCACACGCCCTTTGATGAAGTGAGTCATGAATAGCTGGTTACTTCTATCCAGATGTTGAAGCATGCTGTACGGTGTTCCTGGCATTGGTAGGTTGATCAATTGATATATCATTTCGTATTCAGCCAGGGGATTCCTTCGGCAGGGATGCTAGACAGCAAACACACAAGTATCAGAAGGAATTAGTCAGAAGGAATTAGCCAGAAGGAATTAGCCAGAAGACCCTACAGAAATGGGGGTTTTGCCGCTGCTTTCCCTGCATATGTTCAGATGCACGCTTTTCTGCTTGCCACAGTTGATTCCCAGGGCATCGGACAGTTCTTGTCAGGGAGTGGTTGGGGTGGCTGCGCGGAAAGCACTGCAGCGTTGCCAACAGAAAGCATTCCCCAAAAACAGCCTTGCAGGCTTTGCTGTTGCGGGCGTCCGCCTGCCCGCATCAAGCAGACAGGGCCACTGATTGGCATGGTTGGGGTTTTTGCTTAAGCAAACAATCCCTTGTCCCCTTGAAGGGAAGCCAAAACGAGGGCTGTTTAAACGCGGCTAAAACATGTCGAATCAACGTGTTGGGCCGACCCTGCTTATTGGGCAGATGGTGTTGGGAGCCAACAAGAATTGTTGAGCCGTTCTATCTTTCGGGCACGCTGTTCCATGCTGTTCCACTTTTGCGGATGAAGGACAAAACCAGGATAGCAACCTGACCGGCAGAAAGCTTGTGAGATTGTAGAAGCACTGCGCGCGAGCAGCGTGGATTTGGCGTCGAAACCTGCGACTCCAAGGCGCGATCCTGGGCCCATGGCAGCTACATTTCAGTAGATCCGTTTTATCGAGTTGCTTTATTTCTGTTTGAAAATGAGGCCCAAACCTTTGTCTGCTGTCCCCGTGAGGGGTTGCTAAGAAGACAGCAACAAGGAACGCGCAGGCAATCGCACGTCTGACTTCCCGCAAGCCACGGCAACTTTCTTGCCTTTCGTTTCTTTGCAAAACGCATCGCCGCAATGGCCTCGCGAGTGCATACTTGTGTATGAGTGGGTTGGCGCGCGCTGCAAGGAGCACACGCTTTCCAGCTCCGCAATGTAGGCGGTTTGGGCCCGCCCTGCACGGGCCTGCTTGAACATTTTGATTTTGGGCCCATTGCGGGCGATCTCAGGCCCGGGCATGTTTATGCGTTTAGACAAAGAGGTTGCCTTCCAAAGCTGAGTTGGCGGGCTTCTGTAAGTGCGTGCGAGTGGGCCATCGCGTGCTGACACGAGCTTGCTGGCCGCGCTGCGCGCGTTTGCCCAAGGCGCTGAGCAAAGAACACATCGGTTATGAGCGGGCAGCGCGCATTGGAGAGGCCGGCAGCTCCTAGTTGCGCTGGCTGTTGTCTTCTTGTCCGCGCTGACTTAGCTGAAGCGTCCCACACGCGGTTGGCCACACGCCCAGGCAGCCGCGTATTCTCCAAGCGGCTTGGCGTGCGAGTAAGGCAAACACGTGCAAAGTCGCCCGCCAACACCCTTTCTTTGACAATGCAGCTTCCACAGTTCCTGCACCCTCCGAATGTACTGAAATTTCCGTACATGTCCTAAGAAATCGTGCATGAACACTTTTTAGACAATTTGACGGAAATCGCCTGTAGCAGGCTGTGAGCGTTTGTGGAGTTCCTAAGCACAGTTTGCAATTTGTCTGGCCCATCATACTTAATTTCGCTTCAGGTCATTCGTCTCCATTTGCTGTGGGGCAACGTGTGAACAATCTGTGGGACATGCACGGAAATCGGCGGGACAAGTAAGGAAATCGGCGGGACAAGTGCGGAAATCTTCGGAAAAAGTACGGAAATCTGCCGAGAAAGTACCGAAATTAGCGGAACATTTGCTTGGGGCAATGCACACCTTTTGTCCTTGGTGAATTGCACAAATATGAGATCCTTGCAGAAAAAAGTAGTTGAATGCTGCCGTGTCTTGTATTGAGCCCGCAAGAAAAGTACAGTTCTTGCTCAAATGTATGGATTTCCAGGAAATGCACGGATTTTTGAGGACAGTCGCAAAAAAAGTGCCCTTGGCCCAGGTTTTCAACATAGTGCCACAAGGTGACCAGACACCTGAAAGGGTTTGGGTCCAAATTTGGCCGGAGAAGTGCTCGGTTGCAAACAAATGTGTTCGTCGGTGCGGGTGGTTCCAACGGGAAACCAAAGGAAAACCAATTTTTGCTGGCGGCTTGTTTCCCCTAGCATTTAAGCAGCAGAAAACAATGTATTTTTTCGGATTCATGGATTAGTATTGGTTCAATATTATTGTTACAAGTTCTCAGGTGTCTCCCAATACGGCTGAAGTTGGTGTCAGCGGAAAGTTTGCTGGTTGTGGCTTGGCTTTACATCCCCAGACAGCTGAAAGCTATAGGGGTTCTAACCTCTAATAAAGAGGGGAAAGTGATTTGCAAGATTGACGGCTGGGTGGTGCTAGGTGGCACGTAGTCTGTGGTGCTGGTGCTGGTGTTGTTTGGGGCGCTGATTGAGGTGCTGGTGACGCGCCGGCGCATTTTTGCAAATATGACGGCAGGGTGCCAGGGCATGCAGCTTGGGTGCTGGTGCAGGTGCTCTTTTGGGGTGCCGGTGACGGTGCGGGCTCATTTTGCAACATTGACGGCAGGGTGCTAGGGGCATGCAATTTGCTGCTCGTGCAGGTGAAGTTGGTTGCGGGCGCGTGCTTGCGAAATTAACGACAGGGGTTCTGGGGGACACGCAGTTTGGGGTGCTAGCGCAGGTGCTGTTTTGGTGGGCCTAGTGACGGCACGCGCATTTTTTGCGAGATTGACGGAAGGGTGCTGGCGGGCATGCAGTTTGGGGTGCTCGGTGCATTTTTGCAAGGTTGACGGCCGGGTGCTCTGGGTGTGCTGTTTTGCCCTTCGGGCGGTGCTGTTAGAGGTGCTGGTGCGCAGTCATCGGCCTGGTTTAAAGCTAGCTGGCGTCTACGCTGGTGTGTTTTATAAATCGACGACCTGTGGCCCTTCGCGAAACGGGTCCCCAAAGAACGCACCCAGAAGAGGAGTTCGATTGGCGAAGCCGGAAAGCCAGGCGAGCTGGGAGCTCACGTATGCCCGCACCAAAATCATGGCAGACCGGCGCCGGCATGGTTGGGCACTTCTTGCTTCGGCTTTTTTTGTTTCCCTTTGAACGGAATCCACAAGGATGGCTCTTCCCGAAAGTATTGCGAAGTATTCTCCAGGAAAGACCTGGCGCGGATTACACCAGCAAATCTCACCAGCAAATTGCACTAGCAAGTAGCACTAGCAAGTAGCGCTAGCATGTAGCACTAGCAAGTGGCCGAGCAAGTTGCACTGGGGAGTCACACTGGCAAGATGTAGCAGCAAGTAGCACTAACCAGTTGTACTAGCAAGGCGCACTAGGAAGATAGCGCTGGGAAGTGGCGCTAGCGAGTTGCAGTAGCGAGCTGTACTAGCAAGCTGCACTAGCAAGTTGCACTAGCAAGTTGCACTACGAAGTTGCACTAGGAAGTTGCATTGGCAAGTTGCAGCGAAGTGAGCAAGTTGCAGCGAGGGTTGCTAGAGCAAGTTGCGCCAGGGAGATGCAGGAGTGCCGCGCTCAAGTTGGCACATCACCATCCTTCCTTAATGTACAGAGGGGGGGTATGTAAGAAAACCAAAAGGAGGGCTGCTTGAACAACAGTGGCTCAAGCGTGTGGCCCGATATTGCTTATTGGGCAGGTGATTTTGGTGGTTTCTATCTTTCAGGCAAGCTGTTCCACTTTTGCGGACGGAGGACGAAACCAGGATAGCAACCCTGCACGGCGCGGTGCATTCGCTCGCCCTGCGCGCTTTGTTTGTTTGATGTGTTGAAGAGAGACAGCAAGCCCCCCCCGACCAGAAAGATTCTGCGTGCTCCAGGGTTTTGAAGTCGATTAAACGCAAGGATCCAGCCCCTCTCAACATGTTGTAGCAGTTTCCCTTAGTTTTATACTTCTTCCATGAAGTGGCATTCGTCGTCGCAGGCAAGCCTTGTCAGCAAGCCTGGCAGTAGACCTCAAAAGGAGAGCGGGAACAGTATGAGCGCCATCCTGGGCAACAGCTGGAGCCGGATCAAAATTTGATAGCTTCGGCCCAACTGGTCTCATGGTTGGATTGCACGAGTAGCGGATAGCACCAGTAGCGCCATGGAGCGCCCACATGTCGCAATGTTGGAAGTGCATGTGGGCAAGTGCTTTCAAGGCTCTTTGGCACACTCAGGGCCGTGCAGTCTCAAGGAAAGCTTTTTGGCTGCTTAGATTGACGCAACTGAATCTTATAGCCCACATTGTTGCCTGCTGCGCCCAGCCACATCCCACTGAAGCGTGTTCTTTGCAAGCTGCATTGGTGGTGTGCGATGAGTGCCTGGCTTGGGCAGTGCTTGACTCCGATAGTTTAGGGCTTGCCACCGAGGCATCGCCCTTGCTTCAGATTTCTTAGCGCAGAAAAACTGGCTCGATTGCGAGCCTTTGCGACCCTCGCAGCCATGCGCCAGCCTGAGCGCACTCAGCCAAAAACAAGTGCGTCTCAATGTGTTGAAGAGGGGGCAACTAAGCAAGGATTTCCGGCCGTGCTTGTCATTTGACGCTTGTTTGGCGCATCCCCTTCGGCCCCAAGAGTTTTCTAAGAGCTTTTGAAGTGCCCAACCGTGTTTCACACACAACTTGATATACAACTAGCGCTGAGTTCTGGAGGCACAGTCGTCAAGCTCAAAGTGTTGCGTCGGATGCTAGCCACAAAACCTTGCACTTAGTGACCCCCAATACCTTTCTGCGCTCACTTGGGTTTCTCAATTTTGGCTCGGCTGTGGCTGTCAAGCTAGGCTGGAGGACCGAAGCGTCTGATCATAGCAGGGGATCATATCAAAGCCTCCTCAAAAACTTGGACCCGTAAG